TGTCCTGTTCCGGGTTGAGCTGTCAACTATCATTTATTCTAAGCTTCTTCAGTGGCAAGGAGACTTTCTAATCACCACTGTTCACTGCAAAGAGAAGCTTCTCTGATTAATGATGAGAATAGCATTTGTCTATGGAAATATTTAGAATGCAATTGTCTTGTCAGTTAAAAAACTGTGAGGTCTTCACTCACCTGTGACCGCAGGCTTTTTTTTAAGATAGGTTTTTAAAAAAGATTTATTTATTTATTCATTTGTTTATTTATTAATATATTATGTATACAGGGTTCTGCCTGCATGACAGAAGAGGGCATTATAGGTGGTGTGTGCCACCATGTGGTTGCTGGGACTTGAACTCAGGATCCTGGAAGAGTATCCAGTGCTCTTAACCTCTGAGCCATCTCTCCAGCCCAAGACAGGTTTTTATTACATAGATAGATCTGGATTGTAATAGACCAGGCTGGCCTTAAACTCATAGAGATCTTCCTGCCTCTGTCTCCCAGTCATGGGTTCTTGACCAGACTTACAGTACCAGATGTGTACTCTCTCCAATGGAGCAGAAAGCTTTTGTAGTGTTAGAAGGTGCTGTGCATGCTGCTGAGGTAGATACAGCATTAGAAGTCTTATCCAGTTGTGAACCCTAAGAACTACAGTGCCAGCTTCCAGACAAGATGTGCCCACTGGTGTAGTAATACTGACACATGTTATGGATTGTAATGACTGAGTTGTTTTGATTCTTATTTTGATTCTGACTTGATATGCATTTGCTTTATTATTGTACCTTTGTATAGGTGTTGTATGTTTTAATTGATTCATTTTATATATTTGTGTTGAACCTCCTCTCCATCTGTGTAACATAGTTTTGTTATGGAAAGCCTGTTCTTGTTTGGTGATTAAAGCAATGTTTTATTCCCCTTCTCTTTTAACCGTTTAGATTCTGGATTTTTAGCTTTCTCTTTATAACTCGTTCTTCAAAGGGAATTTCTTCCCATCCTTTTGCAAATTTACTTTCCTCTAGAAGTAATGACTTAAACAGTGAGGTTCTTTATTTTCTGAGGCAGAAGTTTCACTCTGTAGCTAAGGCTGGTCAGGTTTACAATTCTCCAGTCTTGACCTCTCCAGAACTGAGATTCCAAGTATGAACTACTATACTCAGCTTCTCTTTTTGATTTCCAACTCCAGGTATCCAGGTAGATCTTTTCTTTGTGCTGGTTACTGGTAAGCATAAGGCCACTGTCAATTTTATCCTTTGTGTTTCTTCAGGTTGTTTTTGTTTTTGTTTTAAAGCTGAGTTTATTCTTGCAAACGTTTATGGTGAATTTCTGGGATCATGTATCACTATCAGTTTTTCTGACTGGGTAATTTGAAGTTTGAGTGCATTCTTTTGCAATTGTTTACTAGGTTTTATGTATTTTTATTCTTCTTTGTTAGTGTTTTGAGAATGTCACTATATTTAAACAACATGAGGAGTTTATAGGTTGAATATCTTAAAATACTACTTTTTCGCCCTCTAGCAATTATACTTGTTTGGGAATATAAAGCCATTTTGTCTTGAGTTTCCTCTTCAGTTCTACAATTTACTAATAGTAAACTTGTGCCATTATTTAAAAAAGCATTTACCAGATATCAGAAATATAAGAGGGGACCAAGAGTGGCACACAGCTCTACTTCTAGCACTCAGGAAGCAGAAGCAGGTGAATCTCTGTATGTTCCAGACCAGCCTGACTTATGTAGTGAGTTCCATGCCGGCAAGGGTTACATAGTGAGTCCCTAATTTAAAATAATGGGGCTGGTTCCAGGACAGCCAAGGCTGTTACACAGAGAAAACAAAACAAAATAATGCGGCTGGAAAGATGGCTTAGTAGTTCTTGTATTGCTCTTGCAGAAAACATATATTCAGTTCCCAACACCTTTGTCAAGCCTCTAACCACTGATTGTAAGTCCAGCTCCAGGAGCATCTCACACATTCCCAGACACTTCACTCACTTCACAAACCCACACTCACACACAAGAAAGTATGTGTATATAGGCATCTTCTAGGGCTAGCACCAACAGTGGCTTGGTGGGTGTAGTTTTCCATATAAGAGGCCTTAGTGGATGACCCCAGTGTGGTAGAGCCCACCTCTTCAAAAAGATTTACTACATCAGCTGTCATTGGCCCAGTTGGATCAGAGTCCACCTTGATAAAAAAAATCTCTAGACAGTTTAAATTTTTTCAGTTCATGCCACATTCTAGACCACCTTCTCTTCTTTCTTCTTCTACAGAGAAGGAAAAATATTTAGGTTTATTATTCATATACTAGAAGAAAAGGCCTTATATTCAAAGTGTCGTTCTGCTCTGGTCTGATTTCCTAGCACAAAATTTATGTTTCTCTGAATCCTCCTAGAGCCACGGAGCACAGTTACCATACCACTACTGAATTTCCGAATAGCCGTCGTCTTTAGGAACAGCAAAGTCTCAGCCTTCCGAGTACCCTCCGCATTTTGGTGTTTGCGTGTGTTACACACGTTGGTGCCTGTGTGCCCTTCAGTGGAGCGTAGCCAATAACTCTAGATGTTGATCTTCAGTTGTGGTCCACATTAAATTTTGTGAGAGAGTTCTTTAATTGGGGTTGAAATTCATTGATTTGTGGTGCTTGCTGGCTAGCAAGCACCAGCAATCAGCCAGTCGCTGCCTTTTCCAGTGTACACCACCCTGTCTGGTCGTTATCATCATCAGGTATTTGGGTTCTGGAGCTAGAGCTCAGGTCCTCATGCTTACTTGGAAAGCACTTTATGGACTGAGGATCTCTCAAGCCTATAATTTCTTTTTTCTTTTTTTCTTTCAGTGTCTACATCTTATAACCAGTCATCTTCAGTTCCGTTCTATAGCTATCCCAGCATGTATGTTCTGTATCCCAAGCAAGGCTAAACAGTGTGGATTAGCAGTATATATGAATTTGAACAAAAAATAAAGTCTCTACATTATTTTTCTGAGAAAAAAACTATGCACACACACACACACACGAGATAAATGCCCATGTAATTCTAGAGTTAGCCTGACATTTGAGTTTAAAGTTCTTTTGAGGAACATAGTTATAGGTAGTGAATATATTCTTTTAAATCACATATTAAGTGCTACCTCTTTTATCTTTAAAATTGTATGATTGGATGCTATTGACTAGACAATTGATTTATTACCATTGTTAAAGTTATTTATGAATGAGGTCTAGTACATACAGTGACCTTTACAGATCTTCATTGGACAGTGCGTTCTTTTGAGAGATATGTACAAAACTATGAAACATACGATTGAATTGTCAAGATTTCTGTAATATTAACAATTTTCTCATGTTTCTACTCAAGTTTTCCTCACACTACTCTTAAGAAACAACCACTCACTATTCTAGAACTTCTTAGAAATATAATTAATTAGTATATAACAGGAAAAATTCTTTTTTAAAACTGATATTGAGGTTTCATCTCTGGAATTTTGACTCTTTTACATAAATTTTTGCTCTCCAATTCTCTTTTTCATCATGTAGAGTACAAGTTATAATTACTATTTTAATATCCTTCTAATTGAAAAACTTTTCATTCAGTGTAAATGGCTTGGTTTTTCTTGTTCTGGATCACATATTTCTACTTCTTTATATTTCTTTTTATAATTGTGAATTTTTTCTGGTTAGTTGAAGTATCTTTCTCCCGATTAGTATTCTATATACTATGGTTTTTCTGGTAATGTTCTAGAGCTTTGTTCTGGAAACAGTTTGATTTTTTTTTTTCTTCAGGCCTTTCAAAATCAGTAGACCCAGTCAGTATTCAATGGAGGGTAATTATTCTTGACTTCTGAGGCAAGTTCATCTGTGTACTCAGGAGCCTGTGCAGCATAGAGTTCAGTTCCTGGCTCTTGAGCCCTGACATCATTACTAACTTTATCTTTAATCATTTCAGGTGGTTCTATTCTTGGTCTTGGGTTGTTTTCACATATAATAGTGTTGATTATTACTAATCCAGATATACAAAGGGAACCTTTTCTAGATCTCCAGATTTCTTCTATTATTCATCTCTGTTATTTGGTCACTAGTTACTTTGTTTGCCATGAACGTTTATCCTCATTTCCCCTGGGTCTCTCTCTCTCTGTGTCACAACATAGAAACCAGTAGTAATACCCTGAGGTAGTAAGCTGAGGCAGGTATAAGTTACCTACTTCTTTTCTTTTTTACCAGTTGTCTTCAAAACTGTTTTCTGTCTGTTTTTATCCCTTAGATGCGGATTTACTGCACTCTATATTAGCCACAGACATCTGTTTTTAACAACTCTATTTCCTGTTTCTGTGCCATAGTCAAGCATATCAAAAGGCTAAGGGATATTTTAAGAGATGAAATACAAGAATATTACTTGAATAAGTAACAAGAATCTCAGAACTGAATTGTCCTTAGAGGAGTACATTAATTGCTAAATGAAATTGAAGTCCTTGTTTGATTACATAATTGTTTATAATTTAGAACATAGGTGATCCTTTAGTTTTTATTCAGTGTGGCTGGCCTAGCTTTTTTGTTTGTTTGTTTGTTTGTTTTTTCAAGACAAGGTTTCTCTGTAGCTTTGGAGCCTGTCCTGGAGCTAGCTCTTATAGACCAGGCTGGCTTTGAACTCACAGAGATCCACCTGCCTCTGCCTCCCTAGTGCTGGGATTAAAGGTGTGTGCCACCACTGCCTGGCCGGCCTAGCTTTTTTAAACTTTGAATGGACATAACAATAATCTATAACCTATAAAAAGGATCCCCACCTTAAGGCACAAATAAAAAGAGGTATAGAAAAATAATATTCCGTGTTATCTTATTTCTCAGCCTCATATTCTTTTAAATTTGTCTTTGAATGGTCTTGACCATTTTCCTAAGTTACCAGATGAAAGTCTTTCTAAATTGCCAGGAAATGTGAACTGACAGTTGCTGAATTGTAATTCAGTCATGCTATCATGTGTTTACTTGGCTTTAAGTCTGTCTCGTGTGTAATTCCTACAGACATCACAACGATTTTCTTCAGTTGATGAGCAAGCAAAGCTCCATAAGGCTATGTCTCAAGGAGAGATTACAAAATTGGCAGTAAGACAGAAGTCTTCAGATTTGGACATAAGGTATGATGTTTATAAAAAAAAATAGGAATAACTAATTTCAATGATTTTATTTAATTTATATACTGAGTTTTTAATTAAAGTTATTTGCTTTAATTTACAATTTACAACCAGGTCCTTTATTTCTCTTTGTATACTAAGCCATGAATTCATAGAACATGGACTCTAGCAACTAACCTTTCTGTTAGTTCTCATACATTATATGACGCTATGCTTCTCTTAGTAGAGCAGGCTGGTGCTTCAGTTGGCTTCCTTTTTTTTTTTTTTTTTTCTTCTTCCCTGGTCATTTCCCTTCATCTCTTTCAAGAAGCTTTTTTTTCAAGAAGCTTTTTCCAGGAGTGCTTAGTAGATTCAATCCTCATCAACTCTCTTTGCAAGAATCTGGCCCTTATCTTGTTTACAGTGATGCCCTTGACATGCTAGATAAAGTATATCTTCCTGTTTTAACACAGCAACCTTGTAAGGCATTTCTTTTTGAACAGTGCTCACTCCCTTGTTGTCTACAGTATTACCCTCCCTGTTCTTTAAGGAAAGGTCTAGAGAACACAGAGCAGGTGCTGCTCCTCTTCCCCTCCCGTGTTTGTCATTTTGATGAGTCACTGGAATATGGCTTTTGCTTTAATTTTTAGGAAATGAGTAATTGCATTGCCAAGTACATAATAGCATATACTGAGCTTTATCTTGTGTGGGTAGCAGTGTATTTTGGGGGAAATTTCTTAATCATTATATGACTTACAATAATATTGTAAAAGAAGAGAGATTAAATAGGATGAGATTGCTATCTTCTATCTTTGGACTTGTAATGTATTCTGCACTAAGTGCTTTAGGAAAATACTTTCAAAAAAGAATTTTTCTTCTCTTTAAAAGTGCTTATGGGGAGGGGGTTGGAGAGATGGCTCAGTGGTTAAGAGCATTGCCTGCTCTTCCAAAGGTCCTGAGTTCAATTCCCAGCAACCACATGGTGACTCACAACCATCTGTAATGAGGTTTGGTGCCCTCTTCTGGCCTACAGGCTTACATGTAGACAGAATATTGTATACATAATAAATAAATAAATATTTTTTAAAAAGTGCTTATGGGGAGCTAAGGTGAAGCAGCAACAAGTTCGCTCTGGAAGAATGAGGATTTGAATTAAAATATATGCCCATACTGGGTGGTGGTGGTGCACGCCTTTAATCCCCGCACTTGGGAGGCAGAGGCAGGCAGATCTCTGTGAGTTCTGGTCTACAGAGTGAGTGTCAGGACAGACTCCAAAGCTGCACAGAGAAATCCTGTCTCAAAAATAAACAAAAATACACACCTTAAAAAAAAAGTCTGGGGGGCTGGAGAGATGGCTCAGCGGTTAAGAGCATTGCCTGCTCTTCCAAAGGTCCCGAGTTTAATTCCCAGCAACCACATGGTGGCTCACAACCATCTGTAATGAGATCTGGTGCCCTCTTCTGGCCTTCAGGCATACATGCAGAAAGAATAATGTATACATAATACATAAATAGATATTTTTTAAAAAAATCTGGGGCTGAAGAAATGGCTTAGCAGTTATGAGCACTTACTGCTTTTGCAAAGGACTGGTGTTCAGTTCTCAGTGCCCACAACGCGACTCCAGTTGTTTTGCTTCAGTTCCAGAGAATCCAATGCCCTCTTCTGGCCTCCAAGGACAGTAGACAATCTTGTAGTGCACATACATAAATTGCAGGCTTTTAAAATACTCATACACTATTTATATGCGTGATCATGGTCACAGCAGTAGCCTTGCACTATGGAGGGAACAGAGACAGAAACATCACTGGGACTTGCTTGCCTCTAGACTAGGCTCTAGGTTCAAGGAGACACGCGAAATCCTCCTTTGGCCTCTGGTACACATAGGGATGGGATATTCATTGCCATGGACAGGTGGATGCATACACCCAAACACACACACACACACACACACACACACACACACACACAAAGAGAGAGTTCATGGGATTTTTATATTTATTTATTTATTTATTTATTTATTTATTTATTTATTATGTATACAATAGTCTGTCTGTGTGTATGCCTGCAGGCCAGAAGAGGGCGCCAGACCCCATTATAAATAGTTGTGAGCCACCATGTGGTTGCTGGGAATTGAACTCAGGACCTTTGGAAAAGCAGGCAATGCTCTTAACCACTGAGCCATCTCTCCAGCCCGATTTTTATTTTTAAATAAATACCTTTAAAAAATATTATATAAGCATTTGAGCCCTTAGTGAAGATGTCATGTATGTTTAAAAAAATGTTTTTGGGAAAAAAAAGTTTTCGTTTCTTAATTATAGATCACTTTTTATAGACTGTAGAGGAATTTACAAGGCTTGTCTGAGCTATAGAGTTTAAGATCAGTCAGGGCATCTTGTGCTTTGCTGTCAAAACGATTTCTTCACTTTTGCCCTCATATCAACACTCAAAAGTTTTTTTATTTTAGAGCAGTTAGGATTTAGATTTTTATTTTTTTAAGTTATTGATGTACAACCTGAAATGTAATTAAAGTAATAACTATATAAGCACTCTGGACTATGCCCTTAGCTAATGTTCAAATATGTAGTGTCTGTGGGTAATTATAGCAGACAACTCAATATAAATAGAATCATTAAAACTTTCATAGTGTACTAGTGAGTGGACAGATTTAAAACTACCTTGAAATCATGATTTTAGTGAGTAAAAATTAAGATACATATGGACAAAGATTAGAAAGAAATTGCTAATGATATAAAGGAACTTTTTTTTTTTTTAAAAGAGTTGTTAGTTATTTCTTTGAATGTGTTTTCTTCTTTGTAAGCTTCATGCGAGATATAACAACGAACAGATGGCAGTTTGGTATCAAGAAGCTTAAGCTGAAATCCTAGTTCCACTGTTTTGAGACTTTTATTTTATCAATTTTTTTGTTTTGTTTTGTTTTGTTTGTTTTTCAAGACAGGGTTTCTCTGTAGCTTTGGAGCCTGTCCTGGAACTAGCTCTTGTAGACCAGGTTGAATTCGAACTCACAGAGATCCTCCTGTCTCTGAGAATAAAGGCTTTCATCACCACTGCCTATCAAATTATTTAATTTGTCAGGTTTTTGTATTTTATATTCAAGAGGAGGAATTGGGATATGTGGCTCAGTAGTAGTGTTGCCTAGCATATGTCCAACCAGGAGTTTGATACCTTGTACTGCTCCCTTAAATACACACCAAAGTTAAAATAGATTACTACATAGGAAAAGTATATAAAGCTTAAGAGGATACATGAATATTACTGGAACATCTGATTTCTATCTTACCTTTATTTTGCTTTAAAAACAGACCCCAGAGAGCAAAGATGAGATTCTGGGCCAAAGGGAAACAAGGAGAGAAGAAGACTACTAGAGTAAAACCTGCTCCCCAGTCAGAGGTCTCGTCACTCTTTCCTGGCTCAGATGGGACATCTGCTAATCCCTTTTCAGATGGTAAAAATGGACAAAGAATGGAGCTTCTTTTTTTTTTAATTTCTATTACTCATACTGAAAGTGTGCTGTGCTTTTCCTCTTCACAATGACAATTCTCTTGGAATGATATTTTAATGAGATGGGACTAGTGTTGGTAAATGCTTCATTTCTTAGTAAAGCAAGGCATACTCTACTTGTATGAGAGCTCCAAGAATACCTGGTGTAGAACAGTGAAGCAAACCTCTTCAGTGATGATGAGTCTTGGACTAGCCTTTGTCTTCTTTTTTTGGTAATGCTAGGGTTTGAACCCACAGCCTTGTGCATGCTGATGAGCACTCTACCCATTGAGCTGAATCCCAGCCCTAATCATTGTTTTCTAAATTGTAAAGGTTTAACCTAGATTCACTTATATCATAAATACAGAATATCCTTAGTAATTCATAGCATTAGCTCACAGCACCCGTTGAGTGCTATGTAAACCGTAATAAATGTGATATATATGTATAAAATCTATTGATTTTTTTTCAGTTTTTCTTGTTTTGCTATGATTATTATTCTTGGTTTGTAGGTGAGAACACCAAAGTACACGTTGGTATCTATTTACACATATTGAAATGAGAAGATTTGGATTTGAGTCAAGGCATTCGAACTCCAGAATTATTGCTTTTTTGTTGTTGTTGTTGTTGTTATTGTTTTGTTTTTCTTGTGTTTTTTTTTGTTTTGTGTTTTGTTTTTAGGAAAAGTTCTCTCTGTAGCTTTGACTGTATAGATTAGAACTGTATAGATCAGGCTGGTTTTGAACTCAACAGAGATCTGCCTCTTTCTCTCTTGGGTGTGGGATTAAAGGAATGCACCACCACACTCAGAAAGAATCACTTTCTTTTTTAAAAGAAGTCTTACACTGTAACCTAGGTGGCCTTGAATTTGAGACAGTCCTGACTCCAGCTTGGCAAGGAGTTCCCATTCTTAGCCATTGTAATAGTTATGAGGTATTTACCATGCTAGTTACCTTCCTCATTGCTATGGCAAAATACCTTATCAAATCAATTCTTAAAATGAAGGATCTTCAGCCTGTTCTACAGAGAGAGCTCCAAGACAGCCAAATTCTGTACTTTTTCTAACCTTGACTCTGTTTGGGAAAACTTAATTGCCCCCATTGCATTACTCAGATGTTCATTTTTTAATATCATTATAAACTTATCACTTTCAGTTATTATATTCTAATATAATTCCTCCCAAAAGGAGTGGTAAGGCTCATTAACTGAAAATATACATTATAAGCAGATGTCATTTGTATAAGAGCAAAAGCAAGCCAGGTGAGCTACTTGATTCCCTAACAAGTTGTTAACTATTAACAGACAGTATTGCTGATGGGTTCATGGATGTAGACTGTAATAAAAGTTGTAATTATCAAATTCTCCTTGTTAGTTGGACTTAACATTTAACTGGATGCTCCTTCAAACAAGTCTAACAAAGTTACAGCTAGATGAGCAGCATTTAATATGCTAGTTTGTTGCATATTCTTCTTGTTCATCTTTGGTACTAAGTGTTTTTACAGTAAGGATGAAGATTTTCAGTATTTTTTTTAACTAAGTATATCTTTTTACTTTACCTGGTTTGAATTATAGAATTAACTCAGTATCACCCAACACCTCCTTTGAGCCCAGAACTGCCTGGGAGTTCCCGAAAAGAGTTCAAAGAAAATAAGGAGCCTTCTCCAAAAGCAAAGCGCAAAAGAGGTGTGAAAATCAGCAACGTGGCTTTGGATTCTATGCATTGGCAAAATGACTCTGTCCAAATCATAGCAAGTGCCAGTGATTTAAAAAGTATGGATGAATTTCTTCTGAAAAAGGTACACTTTGCTTGCTGAGTTAGCCTTCGAGCAGATTTGACTTAAGAATGCTTGTGTATACAGGATAGGCTGTTGTGAAAAGACAGGTTAAAATTTCTTTAATAACTCAGTCATTGAAGGTTTAGATAATAGGAAATGCACAGACAGAATTTAAAGTTTTAGTCTCCCCTGTGATTTCATAATTGTCATATATGAAGATGAAGTTTATTGTATATTTGTAGTTGTTGTGTTAAAAAAAACTATAGAATCAACATGTTAAAAGGGAACTTATGTGATCTGGTATACTGTCCTTTTCTTAAGCTCTATGATGACCAGTGGCTTGTAATTTTAGAAGAGTCATTGCTTAAGAGACATTTTAACCATTGCATTTATATCTTTTTGATGAGTTGTTAATTTTTCTGTGATTGGTCCCTAGATGAATGACCTAGATAATGAAGACAGCAAGAAGGATACATTAGTGGATGTCGTATTTAAAAAAGCCCTGAAAGAATTTCGGCAGAATATCTTCAGCTCTTACTCATCTGCATTGGCGGTAAGCTAAGACCATGTTAGGAGATATTCACGGTTCAGCATAGCCTGGAATTTTAATCAGCTATAAAGTCAGACTCAAGGGTGCAATTCTTAGAACTTGCTCAATTACTATGTTACTTCAACTGTTAGGACTTGCTTAATTACTGTATTAGTTTAACTGGTCTTTTACTCATACTTAGTAGTTTATATTGCCTACATTTTATACTATAGTGGGTCTTTGCAACTACAGAGCATCTTGAGCTGGTTCATTATAAACTATGTCGAGCTCCTAACCTATCCTGCAGTACAAGTTGAATCAGTCTTTAAGAATGTCTTTATAGGGGCTGGAGAGGTGGCACAGGGGTTAAGAGCATTAGCTGCTCCTCCAGAGGACCTGAGTTCAGTTCCCAGCACCCACAATGGCAGTTCACAACTGTCTATAACTTCTGTTCCAGGGAATCTGACACCCTCACACAGATATACATGCAGACAAAAGACCAACATACATAAAATATAAATAAATAATTTAAAAAAAGAATGTCTTTATAAAACTTAACTCTTTTTTTTTTTGCCTTAGATGGATGATGGGAAAAGCATACGATACAAAGACCTGTATGCACTGTTTGAACAGATTCTGGAAAAGACCATGAGGCTTGAACAACGTGATTGGAATGAATCTCCAGTGAGAGTTTGGGTTAACACATTCAAGGTGTTTTTAGATGAGTACATGAATGAATTCAAGACTCTGGATAGCACAGCTTCAAAGGTAAATGAGTTACAGTTTGGTTTCCATTAAATTATAAATTTTGTTATAAGGAACCTGTCTAGGAAACATTTTAAAATTAATATTAGTGTATATTATTTGTGTAAAATGATAGGTTTTGCCGGGTGGTGGTGGTGCATGCCTTTAATCCCAGCACTCGGAGGCAGGTGGATCTCTGTGAGTTCAAGGCCAGCCTGGTCTACAAGAACTGGTACTGGGACAGGCTCCAAAGCCACAGAGAAACCCTGTCTCAAAAAACCAAAAAAAAAAAAAAAGATAGGTTTCTTTTCCTACATCTATGCAATATATTTTGATTACTCTGTTCATGGTGGCACATGCCAGTAGTCAAATTCTGAAGAGGATGAGGCAGGAGAGTAATAGTAAAACAATGTATTTCAAGAAAATATTACAGAGAACATGGCAGTGTATCATTTCTTCAGATCTTCCAAACTATTCTAAGTTTGCCGTGTATTTTTTTGAACTTGTTTCATTAAACATATCCTTCTAATTATAACAGTGTGCCCTCAATATTATACTTCCAGCTCTAATGAAGATTAATACATGAATTGACTTCTGAAAAATATGGTTAAAGGTGAAATGAATTATGTGTGTTACTTAGCTTTTACCTAAGAACCTACAAATTAGATCTCTCTTGAAAAAGTTTTTAGAAAAAAAAATGTATTTTTGGGAAATCTAAACATCAGTAATATTAAGTTTTACTTTTTGGTCCTTTTAGTAGTAATATTAAGTTTTACCTTTTGGTCCTGTTAATAATATTAAGTTTTACTTTTTGGTCCTGTTAGTTACCACTTGATATTTTAGTTAAATAATAATTATTTATAAAATAATAAAATTATTAAAATAATTTTAATTAAATCTTGTTTTAGAGTTAGCAAATACTTTGTAATCTCTGTTACAAAAGAGATAGTTGATAGGAGTTAAGAACATAGCACAGTTGCTAGAGTGCTGCCGAGTATGCATAATGCGCAGAGCTTCAGTACCGTATAAAACAAGGTGCAGAGGTGCGTATCTCTAATCCCATCACTCTGGAAGTAGAGTCAGAAGGATCAGTTCATGGTCACCCTTAGCTTCACAGTGAATCTGAGGCCAGCCTGGAAAAAATCATATACTCTTTGAGTGTGATGACATATACTTGTAATCCCATCACTCTGGAGACTTAAGACAGGAGGATAGAGTAGTCAAAGACAGCTGGATTTACAGAGAAATTCTAATTTAAAAAAAAAATCTTTAAAAAAATGTGTATTTTAAATAGAGATATTGTCTAAATAAGGTTATCAGTGCATTTCATTATAACAGATGTAAATTATATCATTAGTCTTTGTGTTGATTGTACTTCATTTTATTTTTACTTAGTTTATGGATTAAAATTTTAAGCCATTTTAAATCATTTTAAGGTAGTAAACAAGCTCTAGAAATCCTGGATTTAATGTTGTGGATGTCAGGCTTGTAATGCAGAAGATTTTTACAGGTTTATAAACTACTTTGCAAGTTGATGGTTGTTAAAGGGTACATTTAAGCTCTTTTGTTCTGTGTTATCAGGAAAGGTCCTCTGTCTACAGAGCTTTTCCATACTCCATATGGCCCCTTTTATATTTATGTCCATCGTAGATGGCAAAACCTTTATAGTTGGTCATTTGACTAGTGAATAAAATGTCTAATAATGGTGTGTCTTTTAGATAGAGCTGATATTTAAAAAGAGATCGGTCTCTAAAGAGTTCTTCCATTCTTCTGAGTTTGTTAGCCCTTCCTTTTACCAAACTTAAATATTTTCTCAAATTTGGCTTAGCTTTGCACAGTTCCTCTTGAAGAATAAAGAACTGTTTATTATTTGTAGAAGCTGTTCAAACATGTGCAAAGAAGAGAGTATGTTAGTTTTTTGTAATTTTCAATTTATGTTTCTGCTTGTCCCCTGCCAGGTGCCTAAAACAGAAAGAAAGAAAAGAAGGAAAAAAGAAACTGATTTGGTAAGTTACATTCTTGGTATATTATAAGAAATAATATTTTTCAGCTCAGTAGCTTGATGCAGATCTTGTATTCCTGTGAACAGGTTTACCAGATCCCTAGAATGTACTCACATGCCTTTAAAAAAGTAAGAATGATAATGGACCTGAAATCCCAAGAACACCTACTTTTAGTACTGATTTTCTAAAATGAAAGAAAATTTGGAATATTTTCTTATGTAATTACTGTTTTCTAACTTGCTTACTATTTGTTAACTCTCTAACCATCTCATGAAAGTGGAATTGTACAATTGCTGGCTTTTGCATGTGGTATTCTTGAGATTCACCCATGTTATTTTATCAGTAGTCAGCTACATTGAATATTTAATAGAATTGCATTATAGACATACCACTTTATGGGAGGTTATGCTGAGGACTTTTGGCATGCTAGGCAGTTATTCTACCACTGATTTATAGCCCTAACCTTTTTATTTTATTTACCAGTTCATAGACATTTGGGTTGGTTTATGGTTTAATTTGCATTTCCCTCATGGCTAATGATGTTAAACATCTTTGCATGTGTCTGGTAGTCATTTGTATTTCATTGTTCGGTTGTTCGGTTATTTATTCAGCATTTTTTAAGTTGGTTTGCTTTATTGGGTTATAACTTTAATATATTAGATGGGTGCTGTGAAAGCTAACAAGACTGTAAAAGAATGAAACTATGCACTTTAGCTATCAGTCTTCATCAACTCCAAATGAATCAAAGACCTTAGCATTAGACCTGGAACTGCTAGAGAAAAAAGTTGAGACAACAAAACACTTCAAGATGGTGGGCATGTGGACAGAAAAATGATTAAAAATTGACAGATGGGACTTGTGAAATTAAAAGGTTTTTTTTTATAGCAAGAAAAACAACCCAGTCAAAGAAAAAAAAATGGTTCAAAGTATTGAACATAGAATTCTCAAAAGAAAAAAAATACAAATGAGCAATAAATATTTTTAAAAGCATTAACATCCTTAGCCACCAGGAAAGAAGTAAATTGTAACTACTCAGAGATTACAAATCACACTGATCAGAATGAGAATCAGCAGGAAAACAAATATATGTATATATTTTGTAAGCTGCTTTCTAGCAAATTTAAGAAACAATCTTCCAATAAAGTAAAATTGAAGAGCAATGGACATACTGCTTAATTCCACCAAACCTTTGAAATCATCCTCACCTTGCACTAATGCCAGATAAAGATACAACACAAAGGAAATTGTAGGTCAGTCAGTGTTCTTTATGAATGCAGACACAAAAACTCTCAATAAAACATTTGCAAAGAGAATTCAAGAACTTAGTAAGAAGATTATGGTAGCTTGAAAAAAAAATGGCCCCCAATGGGAGTAGCATTATTAGGAGGTATGGCCTTGTTGGAATGGGTGTGGTCTTTTGGAGGAAGTGTGTCACTGTGGAGGCCTCATATATGCTTAAGCCATGCCCAGTGAGACAGACCACTTCCTGTTGCCTGTGAGTCAAAGTATAGAACTCTCAACTACTTCTCCAGCACCAGATCTGTCTGTATGCTGCTTTGCTTCCCGCAATGATGCTATAAGTGAGCCACCCAATTAAAAGTTTTTTCTTTTTAAGAGTTGCCATGATAATTGTGTCTCATCACAGCAATAGAAATCCTAATTAAGACAAAGACCATGCATGTACCATTACCAAGTTTCTTTCATTCCAGGGATATAAGGATGATTTGACATACGCAAGTCAATAAATATAATAAAGCTCATAAATACATTTAAGAATCCAGATTACATAATTATATCAATTGATACGGAGAAGGTCTTTACCAGAGTTCAACATCCCTTAATGATAAAAGCCATGAAGAAACTGGAAATAGAAGATACATCCACATAATAAATGGAATATATGATAAGTCCAGAGCCAACATTATATTAAGTAGGGGAAAACCTAAAAGCATGTCCTCTAAACACAATAACAGTCATGTCTTTTCTCTACTCTTATTTCCTGTAATATTCAAAATCATAGCTAGAGCTATAAGACAAGAATAAAAGGAATAAAAAAAAAGTCAGATTATCCCTATTTACAAATGGTTCTATACTCACAAAACCCTAAAGACTACCATAAGCCTATTACATGTAGTAAACACTTTATGCAATGTGACAGTATAAAATTAACAAAATAGCTTTTTATTACCAGTAATGAACTTGCTAAGGAAAAAAAAATCCCATTCATAATAGCTTAAAAAAAGAAAAGCCCTTATCAAGGAAGAAGATGGAGAAAAATCTCCGTGCTCATGGATTGACAGAGTTAATATTTAATATTATTACCAAAAACCATCTACAGATTTAGTGCAGTTCCTAAAATTTGGATGGAAGCACAAAATACCCTGAAAGCCAGAGCAATCCTAAGAAGAAAGAGCAATGCTGGAGGTATCACAATACTTGTATTCAAACTACGCTACAGAGCCATAATAACAAAAACATGGTTCCAGTACAAAAATAGCCTTGTCAGGTCAATGGAATAGAATAGATGACCCATAAATAAACACTTAAATACTTAATATTTGACAACGGCGTCAAAAAATAAATAAATAAAATGGAAAAAAAATTTAGTCTCTTAACAAATGGTACTGAAAAAAACTGAATGTAAATATCTGTCACCTTGTACAGAAATCAGTTTCAAACTGGAAAGACCTTAATATAAAATCTGAAAAATATGAGTCGGATAGAAGAAACCATAGGCAAAAATTTCAAGATTACAAGTCTAGGCAAAGACATTCTGACAAGGACTTACAACATAGGAAATAGTCCCAAGAATTGACAAATTGAAGTTGCACAAAATTAAAAAGCTGCTTTACCAGAAAACACAAGTGAAGAAACAGAGGGAGGGTCCTGCCAACTATACATCTGAAAGAATCTGTAAAATATTTCAAAAGTTAAAAACCAAAATAAGACCTTTTTAAAATTAATAATCAATTGAACTAAAATTTTTCTCGACAAAAAAGTAAAAAGGCTCATACATGAAAAATGTTCAAAACTTTCAACCATCATGGAACTACAGATTAAAACTAGTTTGAGATTCTACTTCACACAGCCAGAATGACAGCCAGTTAGTTGTTCATCAACAGATTAATGGGTAAAGAAAATGCTATAGGCTGGGCAGTGGTGGCACACGCCTTTAATTCCAGCACTCAGGAGTCAGAGGCAGGAGAATCTCTGAAAGTGCGAAGCCAGGCTGGTCTATAAGAGCTAGTTTCAGGACAGGTGCCAAAGCTACAGAGAAACCCTGTCTTGAAGAAAAAAACAAAAGAAAGGAAAGAAAAAATTTACATATATACAATGAAATTTTAAATGGTTGTATAGAATGTATTTGTGACATTTGCAGTAATATGTATGGAACTATCAGACTAAGAGAAATAAGCAAGTCTGAAACACATATCACATGTTTTATCTTGTGTAGCTTACAGATTTAATTTTTTATATCTGTTAAATGTATATGTGCAGCATTAAAGTAGAAAGTAGAATGTGAGAGTGAAGTCTAAAGTGGGGGAGGAACAAGAGAGGGTAATGTATGTCATGAGAGCAGAACAAGGAACTGTTTCAGAGAAGGAAACCAGCAAGAACAGTAAGAGAGCAAACAAGAACAGATTTCCCAGGCAAGTCAGTGGCCTTTAATCCTAGCACTTGGGAGACAGAGGTAGGTGGATCTCTGTGAGTTCAAGGTCGGCCTGATCTATCCAGGAGTCCACGCCAATCAGGGCTATATAGTGAGATCCTGTCTCAACCAAATCAACACGAAAGATGTGTATGCATTGAAAATGTCACATTGAAACCATTTTCTCTTTTATAGTAACTAAAAAGTTGATTAGGAAAAAAAACAAAAAAATAATTATTTATATTGATTCTTAATGTACTTATATTTTCAATATTAACTCAAAATTAATTTATGAAATAGGTATAATTTATGAAAACAAAAGCCTTTCGAACTCATGGTTGATTTCCAATAACATAAAACATTTTTGGAATTTCAAAACATATTAGAAATGTTGCTTTCAATTTAACATGCGTAGTCACATAAGATAGCTACCACTTGCTTGTTGAGTTGCATTTTTTTATAATATCTGTATATCTAAGGGACAAACTATACTTTATATCATTATTTCTTGGAGGAATCATAATTCTCTACCTGGAATAAATACCCATGAAGTCTTAGCATGAGGTTGGAGGAGTTCCCATTTGCCAACCATGTTAGGGAAGCGTTTACTTGATTGGCTGTTGTATAAATAGTGAAATCTCTTCATTCAGGTGGAAGAGCACAACGGCCACATCTTTAAGGCCACCCAGTATAGCATCCCTACATACTGTGAATACTGTTCTTCCTTGATATGGATAATGGACAGAGCCTCTGTTTGCAAATGTAAGTATTAGACATCTTTGAGGGAACAGCCTTTATGGTCTTCTCTTGTGTCCACATGTGTGCAAAACTAGTACTATATGTTTGTTAAGTTATGCAGCCACTTGGAGTAATTCGCAAGCCCTCTTGGACTATAACTGCAGTACCCGAGCAGCAGCTGAACTTTGGAAAACATTTTGCTAGTTAGCCCTTTGTGAGTTTAACACTACGGTTAATAACCCTCTTTAGTGCAGTCTTTCAGATGCATTCTAAGTTTTATGCCACCCTGGAACTTGCTCTCGGAAGGCTGTCATGAGTACCTGAAATGTCTTCAAGGAACCTTTCCTATGGTTCCAGTGCAAATTTACCATCTTCTTTTTTTTCTTCTTCCTTTTTTTCCACCCCCTCTCTCAAGACAGGCTTTCACTGTGTTGCCTTTGGCTATTCTGGAACCCACTCTTTAGGTCAAGCTGGCCTTGAACTCAGACATCTTCCTGCCTCTGTCTCCCCAGTGCTGGGATTAAAGGTGTGTGTCACCACCACCCAGGTTCCATCTTTTTAATGCAGCTGTGGTCTTTTGTCCATATCTATGTGCCCCTTTCCTGGTAAAACTGAATATGTTTTATTCTACTTTCCAATTATCAATAAAAACTTGGCTAAATGTAGCCAGCAATAACCAGAACTATAGCCTGATGCTATAATGCTATGTTGTCCTAAAATTTCCTCCATCAAATTAATTAGTCCTTTAATTTGGCCTCACTTAAATTTTCAGAACCTGGATCAACATAGATAAAATTTTTGCTCAAAAATACAAATAGTCAGGGCTGGAGAGATGACTCAGTGGTTAAGAGCATCGCCTGCTCTTCCAAAGGTCCTGAGTTCAATTCCCAGCAACCACATGGTGGCTCACAACCATCTATAATGATGTCTGGTGCCCTCTTCTGGCCTCCAGGCATACATGCAGACAAAATATTGTATACATAATAAATAAATTAAAAAAAATACAAATGGTCTCTAGTCCAATTCTCCATAGGGTTCACAAATGGAACATATGAACTTGGCCTTTACTGTCCTCATTTTTATTAGCAGTCTAGTTTTCCAGCCTCCTTCCATAATATCTCATCAAGTTCTATTTACAGCACTCTAGAACTAGGACTTTTTTTTTATACTCAGGCTCCATATTTTTCCACATTTCTGTTTGAAATCAGTTTCAGAGGTTTAAAATCACTTTTAAGTTATAAGTTTAGCAAAGACAACAACCCTACTTCTTTGGTACCAGTTTTCTATGTTTATTTGTGTTGGTGTGACCAAAGTGCCTGATAGAAACAGCTTAAGGGAAGACACATTTGTTTTGGCTCATGTTTTCAGGGATTGTAGTCCTTCATGCCCAGTGGGCTGTGTGGTAGAGGCAAACCAAGAAGCAGAGGTTATGACCCACATGAGGGCAGGATGTAATCCTCAAATGCCCACCTTTAGTGACCAGTTTCACCCAGTTGAGTTTCCACCTTATAATGCTTCCACAGCCTCCCCAAAATGGTGCCACTAGATGGGGAATAAATTTTTTAATAATGATCCTATGGGACTTTCAGATTCAAACTTGAATAAAGCAAGAACTTTCATTTTATTATCAGTTATCTTAAGAATTATAATGAGATAGTAGGAAGTAATCTGAAATGTACTTGATTCAAACACTTTGACTTTAAACTAAGCAGTAGTTCTCAATTTTCCTAATATTGTGACAGTTCCTCATGTTGTGACCACAAACCATAAAATTATTTCGTTGCTTCTTCCTAACTGTAATTTTGCTGCTGTTAGGGATTGTACTGTAAATATTTGATATGCAGAATATCTGATATGTTATCCACAAATGGTTTGAGACCCACAGGTTGAGACCTGCTGATTTGGAGAATTTGCTTTTTTATGGCCAAAGTGGATTTAGATTAATTTTTTAAATAGGATTAATGGTTTTTATGACTGTCTCGGTTTCACCAGTATAATACCATGGCCTCTTCTACTTGATTTTAGTTTTGAAAACATAAAAAATTAGAAGTTTAAGAGAGAATATTTTTGTTAGTTTGCAAGAAGTTGAACTGGTATAAGCAGAATGACAGAAGTCACCTTGTTCTCAACATCCCCCCATCAAGTGTCTCCTACTTAGCTAGCTGTCTGGCTACATTGTTATCAAGCCATTTCAAGAAATTGTTTTTTGTTTGGTGTTTTTTGTCTTTGAGTGTTTATCTATGTAGCTATGGCTGGCCTCAAACTCACAAAGATCTTACTTTTGCCTCCCAAGCCTAGATATTATTTTTGCTCTGAACTTTTTTTTTTAAATCTTATGTTTCCTACCGTAGCTAATACTCTGCTTATATTATTCTTTAGAGCTCTATTCTGGTACTTTAGGAATGATAAATAAGTTCTTTCCTATTTTTTAAAATATACTGCCAATTTCATTTCAGTAAGCATTTTTGATAATAATGCCTTTGAGCGTAATCAAGATTATTAATTGGTATTTCTGGAGTTTCAACAGGCTTTGGAGCACTACCTTGTGAATCAAACTATAAAGATAGATAAATAATCCGTTGGAGTTGTGGGAGTGGGGGATATAAATACAGTAGGACTGGCACCCTAGAAAAAGTAGAAAGCTCATTGTTCTATTGAAACAATTTCTAAAGAAATTGTTCATTGACACTGACTGAAAATGTTAGGTGTTTTCAACTGCATGTCCATTAACAGAGGTTATCTCAAACAAGATGTATTCATGACCTTAGAGCAGATTCACCTTCAAAGAAACAAACTGTATTCAAATAAATTGTGAACTTGGTAAGTTCTTGCTATTGATTTGCAGACTAAAATTGCTACATCCTTAACCTGTTTTCCAGTGTGTAAGTATGCTTGCCATAAGAAGTGCTGTCTGAAAACCACAGCCAAGTGCTCCAAGAAGGTAAGATAGTCCCACCCTCAGGACTACACAGTGGATCTGCAAGGTTTTTGGTCACATGGAAAGAAGTTAGAGCTTCTTTGGGTTTATAATACAGTGGTTTTCAAACTTCATGACCCCAGATCACATTACAAAGTATGGGTTTTTTTTGTTTGTTTTGTTTTTTTTTCATTCATTCATTCATTCATTTGTTTGTTTGTTTATTTATTTATTATGTATACAATATTCTTTCTGCGTGTATGCCTGAAGGCCAGAAGCGGGCACCAGACCTCATTACAGATGGTTGTGAGCCACCATGTGGTTGCTGGGAATTGAACTCAGGACCTTTGGAAGAGCAGGCAATGCTCATAACCACTGAGCCATCTCTCCAGCCCCTTGTTTTGGTTTTTCGAGACAGGGTTTCTCTGTAGCTTTGGAGCCTGTCCTGGAACTAGCTCTTGTAGACCAGGTTGGCCTCGAACTCAGAGATCTGTCTTCCTCTGCCTCCCGAGTGCTGGTATTAAAGGTGGTATCCTAAGTTTTGTAAGAAAGCAAACTGAGCAAGCCATGAGAGGGATAAGCCAGTTAGCAGTGTTCCTTCATCACTTCTTCACTTCCCGCCTTGAGTTTTTGCCCAGACTTCCTTGGACTATGATGTGGAAATGTAAACAAAATAAACCCTTTTCTCCTAAGTTGCTTTCATCTTAGTGTTTTATCACAACAATAGAAACGTAACCAAGATGTAAACAAGAAAACAACAACCAAACAGTATTCTGTCTAGCGATCTTACATACTAAAGTCAGAGAAGGTTGTTGAGGTTTTAGCAGTAGGGGTAGGGTAGTTCCATACTGTCAAGATTTGAATCACTGTAATTTGTTCATTAGAGAAATAAGACTAAAATTTAGAAATATTTTGTTTCAGGATATGGTTTTTAACTGAAAAGCTATTTAGCCTCAATGGCAAAGAATCAAATTAGGATAAGATTTTTCAGAGTTTCACACTGCTAAGGAGGGCAAAGAGAATTTTTAGGACTATTCAAAGAGAAAGTAGTTCCCCAGACTCTCAGTGAGAGCTATGCCAAGAAATACACCCTAGGAATGGGGGTGAATCATTGATGACTGAGATTAACAAAATTTACCAATTAGCTTTAAGGTGGTTCTTAATTAGATTATGGTGCTATTTCCTTATTCTGAGCACCTACAAGAGAGGAAGAACCTCTCCAAAGAAAGAGCATCACTCAGCACATTATATTTTTTGCAAATATACTAGACACAAAGAATTAGACTACTTAATAAATAGTCAATAAAATAGATTCCAATAGTTACTTAAGTATCAAATATATAGCTTTAAGCTTTAATGAATGTTTAAATATCTAGTTTTATTTCACAATTTTTAACTATTAACTTTGATACTGAAGGGAGAGCCTTAACATTTTAAAAGATGATAAGTGTATTATGCATGCATCATATTAATAGTAAAACTTTTTGTTAATGTTTATTTATTTGCTTAAATCATTGCATGGAGATTATTTCATTTTTTTTCTAATTATCATATACTCTATACTAGGTGGTTCCAAGCCATATATACTTAGCAACTTAGTAGATGTTTAGTTAAGTTGATATGGTGACAATACTAACATTTAATATGCATCCCTTAAACTTTCTAAATATTTTGCATCAGATCTTGAAATAGTATTAGAAGTGTTATTTTATTACTGACTTAACATTCTTCAAATAAAATATGGAATTGATTCTCTGAGAATTAAGTGCTTACATGTAAAATGTATGCATGCACAATAAGAGAAAACTAATTCTTGGCTCTTTGAAATTCTCCAGTACTGTCTCTTAGCTGTCAGAATAAAGTCCAAATGCACTTTATAGCCTCTGCCTAGCTTTTTGTTCATTTTTAGTTTCGCCATACCAGACGGTGTAACATCACAGATTCTGTGACTCCACATTTCCTAGTCCTCTCTTGGTTTCTCAGGTACCACCTGCTCAACATCAGTGTGAAGCATCGGATCTTTTTGAGATCCTTCGTTGCTATTTTTTGTTGTTGTTTATTTTGGTTGGTTTTGTTCTGGGTTTGGTTTGTGTGAGACAGGGTCTCATGTAGCTCAGACTGGCCTGGAACTCTCTGTGTAGCCTAGGATGACTTGGAACTTCTGATTCTCCTGCCTCTCCTTCCCAAGTCCTTGAAATAGCATAGTGTTTTAGAAATTATTAACAATTTTTTAAAAAATTCTGTGGATTTCCCAAAGTACATGGCAAATGTTTTAAGGGTTTTTTTTTTTTTTGGTTGTTGTTGTTATGGTTGTTTAGTTTTTGCATACAAAATTGAACCCCCTTCTCCCACAACTAACCTCATCTTTTGCTGGAATTGATTTTTTTTTCTCCCCGAGATAGGGTAGCCCTACCTAGCTTTTGTGGAACCAATTCTTGTAGACCAGGCTGACCTCGAACTCACAGAGATCCGCCTGCTTCTGCTTCCTGAGTGCTGGGATTAGAGGTGTGCGCCACCACTGCCTAGCTTGGAATTGATTTTTGATGGGAAGAAGTAGCAGCCCATTGCTACTACCTCTAGTCTTTGTTTTCTTTTATGGATTCCCAGTGGAGATGACTGAAAGTAGTATCTCATCAATTTATATTTTTTAAATCATAATTCCCTTTCCTCCAAACTGCAGAGGTTATTTGCATAACACTAGGAAAATAAAAAGTAATTTCCTAAAGATTGACTAACCATGTTCTGTAGTGTTTGAATGCATGTAGAAACAAAATTTATCTTCCATTTAGTATGATCCAGAGCTTTCATCTCGGCAATTTGGGGTTGAACTGTCTCGATTGACTAGTGAAGACCGAGCTGTTCCTTTAGTGGTTGAGAAGCTCATAAACTACATTGAAATGCATGGGCTTTATACCGAAGGTATTTACCGAAAGTCTGGTTCAACTAATAAAATCAAGGAACTTCGACAAGGTCTAGATACAGGTAAGATAGTGTGCTTCCCAATTAAGATGTAATAATACTTTTTTAAAGTTGTTTCAAGTTTTTATTACATATTGCTTCTCTAAATGTAGGGCCAGAACCTTTTCTGTGGTACTTGTTTGGTTTTTTTTTTTTTTTGAATCTTTGACTGTATTCAGTTAATTCATCAAGCATGTGTTGACAGTAAATAATTGTACAAGGTATTGTTAGGTACTTGAAAAAGATCTCACTCTATATGACACACTAATTAGATCTTGACATTCTTAATTTATAAAGAGGAAATGTAGGTTCAGAGAAATTAGTGAAATGTTGACTCAAGGCAACAAAGATTTTTAGAAACAGTCTTGTGAATTTACAGATGTCATTTATCTTCATTTATAGATAAGGGACCAGGCTGATAGAGCAGCTTATCTTAACTGTTTATCTTAACTACTTATTGCCAACGAGTGACCATGTCAGAATTTAATCCAGTGTTTTCTGGATCTGTAATTTAAAGTACTGCCTATTAGTCTTCACTACAGGTGGTATTTTTTTTTTACTGTTTTTAATTGAGTTAAACATTTTTTTCCACTCCCTCCCTTCGTCCCCCTCCCCTTCTACCCACTCCCATAACACCCACACTCCCAATTTACTCAGGAGATCTTGTCGTGCTATTGTTTGCAGTAGATTTTCCTATTCCTATTTGTATTGAGGACTTTATTTAAACTGCTAGTGAGTTGAGCACTTATTAGTGTAAAGCTTAATCCTAGAGTATATGGAAGGGCTTGTCTTTGGTTTAATTCTCAAGTTAACACTTTTTGTCATTTTTGAACCAAAGGTTGCGTTTATGTGACTAAGAACCATAGTGGGTTTTTTTTTTTTTGGTTTGGTTTTTTTTTTTTTTTTTTTGGAACTAATCAGTAAGAAATAAATTAGTAAGAAAACAACCGGAAATGCCTGATAAAACTCAGGTAGTAAATTCTGACTGTCAGAACTTGATCTACTCTAGTTTATGGGCATTTGTTAGGTTTGGCTCTTGACCTGTGCAACAGAACAAATGTCAGTCATTCATTCTGTATTCTAATAGTCTAATCAGTAACCTTGAGCAAAATAGGAGGAAGCATTTCCTTGCCGTCTTAAGAATGTCAGCCTTGCTTTTAGAAAATGTCTTTTAGGGCTTTCCCCTTAGACTTGTGAAGCATGGGTGCTCAAGAATGAGGCATGTGGGCCACTCCAAGACAAGTACAAAAAATCGAAAGTAAGCCCCTAGAAACTTCTATAATTGATTCTTCTTCCATCAAAACATAATCTTTTACATTTGTGTTCACAACAGGTACAAGCATTATTCCTTCACAGTCAGAAGTGACAATTCCAAGCATAGAATTAGAGTGTGGGAGATATACATTAGTTTAGTTAGGAAACATGAAGCCTTCTTTTAGTATATTTACTTTGAACTGTTTGAATCTTTTTGCATGCTTTGTTATCTATTCATTGTCTCTAATAGATGCTGAAAGTGTAAACCTAGATGACTATAACATACATGTTATTGCAAGCGTATTCAAACAATGGCTTCGAGATTTGCCCAATCCACTCATGACCTTTGAACTCTATGAGGAATTTCTTCGAGCTATGGGTAAGCACAAGCTTCAAGGGTTTAAAGGACAGGCCTAGACTTGATAAAGCAACCCCTTCTGTTGTATTCATTATTAAGTCCTTCTATAGGAGTGTAGCCCTTAAGGGTCCTAAATTAAGCTTGTGGCAGAGTACAAAACTGCCAGTGCACTGTTACCTATTCAACAGTTGTTTCTTTTGTAGATTTTCTAAAAGTTTCTGAGTAAGCCACTTTGTTGCTTCTCAAAAAGTAACTGAAAGATATGGGTTATAAAAACAGTAAAGTAGCAAGTAGGAGATTTTAGGGTGGGCTAACATTCTGTTGTGAATCTAAGCAGGAACTGTGTCTGAAGCTAGCTGTTTTATTCCAGATGGGCTCTGTGCTTTAAATGTGTTGTATATTTGTAAAGGTCTGCCCAGAGGTATTTAGAGCCCGAGGACATAGAATAGTTCATTTTAATGAGAACCCAGTCTGTCACATAATGGCTGAAATACTAGACTGCTTGCTGTCATCAAGGGCTGCTGGAGGGCAAACTTAACTCTGGGAATTCAAATACAGGGAGCCAAGTATCTGAGAGCTATTTCTGCTTCCTCAAGCTGAAACCATCATTCTCTGCTGTAGCGGATCCATCCAGGAAGAAGATAAAGCATGTAACAGGAATATTCAGTGTAACTTGCTATTCTTACCAATTTTTAGGCCTTCAGGAGAGAAAGGAGACAATCCGTGGAGTGTACTCTGTAATTGATCAGCTCTCCCGAACTCATCTCAATACACTGGAACGCCTCATCTTTCATCTAGTTAGGTAACTTAACAGTTTCTTTAGGATTTTTCTTTCCTTTTTTTTCCCCTCCCAAGACAGGGACTCATTATGTATCTTTGGCTATATTGGGACTCACTATGTAGATCAGGGTGGCTTTGAACTCAGAGATCTTCCTGCCTCTGCCTTACAAGTGCTGGGATTATACACCACTGTGCCTGGCTTTTTTTCAGGGGAGGAGGTCAGGATTCCATTCAGTTGAAGAACTTGAGTGTATAAAGTCAGTGCCTCTCCTGGGAATGTAGTTCAGAAGTAGAATGCTCCTTTAGTGTGCACAAAGCCCTCAGTTTGGTCCTTGTAATGTTTATAAAACAACACCCCCCCCTACTCCTTTCTGCCTTTCTACCTTTTGTACCTAAAATATGGGGTTAGGGCTTTTTCAAGCAGAAATTTGCTAAGTCGAGTGATTGTTGGTCCCACCTCATGGTAGCACCAAGTAACTCAGCCATTTTGACACCTGAACTAGAAAAGAGTGAACATCAGCTTTCTGGGAGTTGGTTCAGATTATACTCAGGAATTAACTGACTAGAGGATTCAGGAGTAGGTCTTTTTCTCTGTATGTAAATATTAGAAGGGGTTGGGAGTATAACCCTCTCTCTGGTCAGATGTGTGAGATGTTTGGGAATGTGTTAAAACTTCTAGGTTTTCAAGAGATGTCTCAGAGGTTAAGAGCATTGGCTGCTCCTCCAGGGAGCCTGGGTTCAATTTCCAGGACCCATACAACAGCTCACAACTATCTGTAACTCCAATTCCAGGGTATCTGACACTGTCACACAGACATACATGAGGCAAAACACCAATGCACATAAAATAAAAATAAATCCTATTTTTAAAATTAAAAAACACCACAACTTCAACTCTGCATTCTGCAGAAATGTTTATGATGTTGGACTTAAGCAGCAGGTCACTTGATATGCTGTAATGTTGACCTATGAACCAGACTGTTTCAGAGAGTAGTAAAGTCCATTCTTCAGGTAAAGGGATAACTTTGGGGAAGTCTAGAATGTCTTCCTTAAATTTAGATGTGTATCCACACTGAACTATGGGGTTGATGGCATACTGTATTCTTTTCCATATTTTCCCACTATTATTTTTATCACCTTTTCACTGGTGTTGGTTTTGCTTTATTCCTTAGGATTGCGCTACAGGAAGACACTAACCGAATGTCTGCTAATGCTCTGGCCATTGTGTTTGCACCTTGCATTCTCCGTTGCCCTGACACTACTGACCCACTACAAAGTGTACAAGATATCAGTAAGACTACCACGTAAGGCCAGCCACATTCACCTCTACAGGATTTTAGTTGGTGTAGTTTTTTTTTATCCAAATATCAAACACAGTGAATGATTTCATAAGTTCCAGTGCCTGTAAAGCAGATTCTTGGGTATTCTAAGGCTTGCTTCAATTTAGGATTACTTACAGTTTTTAAATGTCAAGTTATTTGTAGTTTATATCTCCTTGTAATAAAGCATGTAGTCTAATCATGATCTTACGACTCTGAATCTCTCTGGTTATAATTCTTCAGTATTCCTACATTTCACCCTGACCTTTTTTTCTTAACCCCCCACCCCCCATCTCCCTCCCTCCCTCCTTCTCTCCCTCTCTCTCTCTCTGACTGCAGTGGGAACTTTTGGAAAAATTCAAGGGCTTGAGTCCCATCCCCAGAGTTGTCTGATTTATTAATTAATCTGGGATTATAGCCTGGGCATTAGAATTTGTAACTATTTTCAGTTGGTTTCTAAAATGCAGACAATTATCAACCACCATTCTGAATCTTCTTTTCTCTGAGCTCATAAAATAAAGGATGCTTCCTTTATCCTTCAGCTGTCTAGGACAGTCAGTTAAAAGTAGTCTAGGGATACCACACTTCATTTGATTTACTTCTGCTTGTAATCGTTTTTTTTTTTTCTTTCTTTCTTCCTGTTTCAGCTGTGTGGAGCTGATTGTTGTAGAACAAATGAATAAATATAAGGCTCGTCTCAAAGATATAAGTAGCCTGGAATTTGCTGAAAATAAAGCAAAGACCAGACTATCACTGATTCGTAGATCAATGGTAAGATGCAAAACATGGACCCATGTTTTGGGAAGGGGTTTTCTATGTTTTTTTGAGTAAGTGTTTGTAACATGAATTATGCACAGAAGGAACTTTTCAGAGGAAACACTGGTGCTAGGAATATCTGATGATCTTTAAGTTATTTTAGCTATAATGTACAGAATATATGTAATAAAATCTGCAAAATATTTTAAATATTTTGGATAAAAAGTTGGTGGCTTATTATCTTCCTGCTTACTTTATCTGTTCATGCTATAAACACTTAACTTTACCCTAGCTTTCTCTACATTCTTCCACTATCTTTTCCTAATCTCAGCCATAAAATTTTTGGTGGTCCTTCCAAGATTCCTGACCGTAGAAAACTTAGTCATTTAGAATTGAATATGAACTAACTAACGTGCTTGATTCCTACGGAAGCAGAATTCTATTTATGAGTCTTCTATGATCAGATAAAGATTTATTTAGGGATTTGTTGTTGAGTTTTGAGATGTGCTAATAAAATTTATTTCTTTCATTTGCTTTCTTTTGTATTTAGTGTCTTCTGTTTTAACCAGTGACCAGCAATTATGTATTATAATAACTCCAGTTACCATTAACTAAAACAGTAGGATCTGATGTTCTGATAAAACAACTGATGCCTTAAAGTTTAACTTTTGCCTACTTATTATTCCTCCTTTCAGTTGTAAACATTGTAGCAGCAGGCACTTATTTCAGATTCTCAGCAAATCTCTTAAAACAGCAGCTTCCTGATTTTCATATTTTTCTAGAGCTTCCACAATGCTTCTTCCATGTCATTATAGTTTGTATTTAGATTGGCGTTGAAATAACTCTGCTTCTTCCTTCCTATTTCAGCTTCCTTGCACAGAACAAATGTTCAACAGAGGGTAGGGTTAGAAGAATTCCAGACATTAAATGAAGCTTGTCTTAGGATTCCCATTACTATGATAAAACACTGTGACCATAAGCAGCTTAGAGAGGGAGGTGTTATTTTAGAGTTTGTAGTCCATCATTCATTAGGTGAGAAGCCTGAAGGGAGAGACTATGGAAGAGGGCTGCTTACAGGCTAGCTCCTTGTGGCTTGCTCAGCTTGCTTGCTTATATATATTACCCAGGACTGCCTGTACAGGAGTGCTACTGGCCACAGTGAGCTTGACCCTACTCCCATATAATCTTCAATCCAGAAAATGTATCACACACAGGCTTGCCCACAGACCAGTCTAATGAAGGTATTTTTCTCAACAGAGGTTCTGTCTTTGAAAATAATTCTAGCTTGTATCAAGTTGACATAAAACTAGCTAGCACAGTCATCATAGGATATGACCTAAATCTCCCCACAAGACATTACAAATAGAAATCCTATCTAAAATCAAAATTTTGGCCTAAGGCTTTAAATGAGTTGATGCTTGTCTTTAAGACAAAGTTGATCCTTGGCACTGCAAACAGAAAAACCTTTTCATATTAATAATTTTAGCTCAGTATTCAGACTTCTAAATTATTAGACTTAAGAAGGAAGGAAAGAGCTTCGTTACTACAAAACTGTATTTCAAAGCAAGTGGAAAAGTTGTGCATCCCACCTCCCCAGTACTGCAGAGAATGGATATATCATTCCACTGAAAGGTTTAGCCTTCTCTTTTAATGGGGCAATGACATGTACATTCTAACCTTCTGCTTTCCTTTTCATGTCCTTCCTAATCCAGAAACCTGTACTAATTGCAGTTAGATTTATGAGCATTACCCGCAGTTCAGTCTCGGTATGTATTAATATTGCAATGTGTCTTAGTCACTTCACATCATCGTGTCTCACTCATCCAGGAAATGTTCTGCTCTGTCAGTCATTCGTGCCTGTCTGCCTTACATGTTCAAACCCAGTTCAGGGCCCACTTATTGATCAGCCTTCACATGCCTTTTTCTTAATCACTTTCTTTATGTCCTTCACTTTATCTGCGTATGCAGGTGAACAGTGTTCATTTGAAATATACTGTTTTTCCTTGTCAGATAGTCCTTTAGAGTTTCTGTTGTGGTTAAATCTTTAAAACATGGGGGTTGAAGATAACTGAGGTTTTCAGATTCGTTCTGCTGTATGAGCTATATTCCTAGCAAATTCACTTTATTATTTGAAATACCTGTATGATTTTTAGTATCTATCATGAGTAATGCTTATGTATCTGTTCATAACTGTGACTCTAATGGTATCTTCCAAGATGTAGAAATACAGCTCTTACCTACTTAAGTGTTTGCCAGACAAGATTATGTTGTTGCTGCCTCTCTTTATTAACACTGTTTATGCAAAGGAGAAATGGAAGGGTAGAAAACTAAAATACCAAGCTGTGTGGAAACTAATTCCAAAATACCCATCTCTGTATACCCATTTTACCGGGAAGCATTATCTTATTGATCTGTAAGTACAGGTATCATTCACGATTAATGAGAAACTGTAGAAACAGTCAATTCTACTATATCAAGCTTCTCTTTTCCTCAGAATATAGCCCTAATAGCATGTCACTATTACTTTCTTTCACATGCATTTTTTATATTAAAATTTCAGTCATAGATTTGGTATCCTGTATTCTTCTCACTTCTTTACAGACTATACCTTTATCTGGGGAGTTGTAGGGTAAACTTCCTTTGCAGGGCAGACTCAGCCTTTATCTGGAGGAAGAATTTGAGTAAACAGAATTCTGCATACTGTTGTAGTGTTGTGTGGCAGTTCTGCTCTGTTCTGACAGTAGTCTAACTAAAGATGAGTGGGAGCTCCAGATTTACTCTCCTAACAGTCAGAGGAGACTTGTCATCTCTGTTTATATTGCCACTATCATTTAAGTCAGTGATCCTCAACCTTCCTAATGCTTTGGCCCTTTAATACCATTCCTCATGTTGTGGTGACCCCCCCCCAGCCATAAAATTATTTTTGTTGCTACTTCATAACTGTAATTTTGCTACTGTTATAAATCATAATGTAAATATTTTTGGAGATAGAAGTTTGTCAAGGTAGTGACTCACAGGTTGAGAACTGCTGGTTTAAGATGGGACTTCATCTTCTGCCTAAATTCTTAGTGATGGCATTGACATGGTGTTAGAAGCTGTCAAACTTTCAGGACAGTTACAAGTTTTCCAAAATTCTCCTGTTTGCTTAGAAAGCTTAAAGTGTTATCAATGACAAAAATTGTGACTTTGAAAATAATAGGTTCCTTTCTAATAGGGTCAAAGTCTGTACAATTTACTCCCGTGTGAATAGTCATTCTTTGTCAGTTAGCCCAGTATTTGAAGATAAAAGCAGCTAAGTCATTCAGCTTGCTAAGCAGGTTGCTGTGAGTCACAAGCATTGTACAGTAAAAGTACACATGACAGATCTATAGACAGATCCACAAGTATGATCTGATGGAGAACCTGATTTGCAGAGCTTCGGGAACACTTGTCTTTTGGATAGTCACTGTCAATTCTGGCTCTTCTCCCTTTTATAATGGGATTCATCCGAAAATATCCCAGCAGTGTATAAATCATTCATTGTGATAACTTCCCCCTGTACTGGCAACTGGATGACCTTTTCCCATTACCCCACATTGTAATGGGGCACTGGTATGAAAGCATTCACTCAGCCAAACCTTTGTTCTCATAGTCAAATCTACATAAATCTAGTCCATATTGACAGGACTTATTGACATGAAAGGAGCCCTGAGCAGGAGAGATAGTATGTCTGCTTTTACTGATAATCAGGTCTGGGTGACCCTGAATTCTCTAACAGCCAACTCAGGTGGAGAACCTGAGTTGCTCTGCCCTAGCAAGCTATTAGTATTCTGTACTTACCTTTACCTTTCACTTGACACAAGGTCTTAGTCTAGGAAACTGTATCTTTACCCCTAAAATATAAAGGAAAAAAACCTGTCTTTTTTTCCATCCTGTTAATCCTAAGAAATGCATGCTTGGCATCATTGTTATTTCCCAAAAAATTGTTTATGATGTGTGTGTGGGCATATAAACTGGAAACCTTGTGGGATGGGAAGGACAGCAAAGAACATCAAAAGAGGAACATTGAGGAGAAACATCGGAAGGGGAACATCAAGAGGGCATTAGAGAGAGCATAGAGCATTGCCTGCTCTTCCAAAGGTCCTGAGTTCAATTCCCAGCAACCACATGGTGGCTCACAACCATCTGTAATGGGGTCTGGTGCCCTCTTCTGGCCTGCTGTCATACACACAGACAGAATATTGTATACGTAATAAATAAATATTTTTTAAAAAAAGAATAAATGGGACATGATTTAAAAAGACTTATGTGAGCTAATTTATTTTGTTTACACTCAGACCTTATTAGTCAGGTTTTCACCTGCTATAGTGACCCTTCTGAGAGGTTTAGTGGGGCTTAAACCCCAACATAAACCTTGCTAGTAGGTAGTTGTACAAATACTGTTTACTAGGACAACCCTCAGCATATTGCAGGGAGAAGTGCTTTTTGTGTGCCTGTCATTTTATCATACATAAATAGAAAATGAATTTAACCGTTAATGGTTGATAATTATATGATTTAACTGATGGCATCTGAAACTATTTTTTAGCTGTGAATACATGGTATTAAAGAATATGAAGACCAGTAGTACAGTTTTATACCATTGCCTTAGTCATGTGGAGGTGTCAACCGTGTGTTTTTACCCACTGTTGGTTTTATCTAATTAGAGTAAATGTCAGTAAATGGAAAGAGCAAATAGCATCTTAGCACTATTATAAAAGCAATGTTCAGATTGTACATTTTTTTGGGAATGCCTCAATATCCCTAATGGGAACCTGTGAACTATATTCAGAGCCACCATACCCAAGGCTGGGGATATAGCTTGGTGGTAGAGTACTTGTCTCAATCATGCTTGAGGCCCTAGGTTAAATTTCTCAACACAGAGAGAGTGGGGAGAGAAGGAGAGGAGAGAGAGAGAGACTCTTGTACTACAATACTCTGGCTGGCTTATGCACTACACAGAAAGTAACGACATATGCAAACATACAGTGACTATATTTAAAGTATTTAGTAACTCTTATTATGGGATAAACCATAGTTACAGGTGTTGGGGATACAACTTTTGAATCAGCCTCAATACCTACTACCATAGAAAGCTCCTATCTCGATATCATACAAAGTGTGGACTTTATGCAAGACCACCAAGCAAGGCTGGTAGTCTTCTAGAAAAAAACTTGGATAAAGAACCTTTCTTTTCTAGGAAAGAAGATCCCTCAGACATAGTCTGAGAATTCAGTTCCTGTTTTTGTGGCTCAATGAATGACAACAGTGATCCTTTAGTATTTGGGGTAAATTGTCTGTTAGGATTCTAAGATATGTGCTTCTAGCTATTTAGCTTCTAGTTCTATCTGGATATTGCACAGTTCTTCCTCTTGATGTATTCAACCCACAAACAAACCCCAGTTACATGTACTTTCTTTGAATCATCAGGAAATATAACTCCCCATGAGGGAGGTGTCTTTCTACATAGTCAAAATCATATTTCATCATCATTCTTTAGCTATGTAGGCTTACAATGATTGACAATATTGAGCTTGTGTCCATCTGTTATGTCTTGCTATTCCTTCCTACATCCTTTTTTCATTATGAGCCTTATAGCAAACTCTTTCATAGGCCATAATCATTTTAACACTAAAGTGTATTTTCTATTCTTCATTGTTACCGACTTAAATCTTAAAAAAAAAAAAGTAAAGTTAGATGACTCAGCAGTTAAGAGCACTGCTTGCTATTCCAAAGGTCCTGAGTTCAATTCCCAGCAACCACATGCTAGTTCACAACCATCTGTAATGAGATCTGGTGTCCTCTTGATGAAGAGACCTGGTCAGTCATCCTCATCAACTTAGACCATGAAACCCAATATGGTTAAGTTCAACAAAACCACCTTATATGGGCTGCCCATGCATGCTTCAGGAAAAAAAAATAAGTAAACTGAATCCTTCTCATTAAAGCATTTGGATCCATGTTGTTGCTAGTTTTGGAAACCAACTGTAGGCTAGGCTTATAGCATTCTCACCTAGGTTTATTAGTCAGAGCTTCTGTTTCTGATTTTTCTCCCCACCGTATATATCAGGCTTGCTTTGAACTTGCAGTCCTCCTTCCTCAGTCTCCTAAGTGCAATAGAACTACAATAGAGCATCAATATAGGATGATCAAAATCAAAACAGGGTACCTAAAAACAGACTAGGCATTTAAAGACTGACTGCAGCAAATATTTCCTGTTCTCTTTGTTGTATGCCTCCAAAATTTGTATCCTTGAGCACAGTGCTGTTTTGTTTTTGAGATGCATATTAGTGAAGTTATATACTATGGAAGATTTTGTATCTGACATTTCAGTCATCTTTTTATGTACAAGACTTATCCATGCTGTGCTTAGTTGTAACTCAGCTCACTCTTGTTCCTGTATCCTATTTTAGAACGTATATACCACAGTTAATCCAGTGTACTCTTTATGAACAGTTTATGGGCCTGTTTATGGGCAGTTGAGTTTTGTTTGGAGGAATATGTAGCATACACACATTTTTGTTAGGGTAATACATAAGAATGAAATTGTGCTGGGCGGTGGTGGCGCACGCCTTTAGCCTTTAATCCCAGCACTCCGGAGGCAGAGGCAGGCCGAACTCTGTGAGTTCAAGGCCAGCCTGGTCTACAAGAGCTAGTACCAGGACAGGCTCCAAAGCCACAGAGAAACCCTGTCTCAAAAAATCCAAAAAAAGAAAAAAATTGCCGGGTCATGGGATATATCTTTTAGCATTTTCCAAAATGGCTGGATGATAATTAGCAGTGTACAGGAATCTCTGGTTTGCCAAATTTCCAGCCCTTCTGTTGTCACTTACTTTACTTTTAGCCATTAATATTTGCATGCCACTTCTTGAATTTGGAGTTCTGTCCTGTGACTCTAATGTGCACAAGTAGGTTCAGCCTTCTTGTAGATATACCTTGTTTTCTCAACATGCTAAATATGCTTTTCTGTTTTTCTATACTTGGATTGCTTATCTTTTTTCTAATTCTTTCTGAATTCTGCCTGTAATCCTTTGATCAGTTATTTCTGTTGCAAGCATTCCATTTTATGGTTTGATTTTTTTTTTTTAAACTCTCTTAAAAGTGGCTTTTTGAGCTGTTGGTGGTGACAAGTGCCTTTAATCTCAGCACTTGGGGGCAGGTGAATCTCTTGAGTTCAAGGCCAGCCTGGTTCAGAGTGAGTCCAGGACAGCCACATCTTCACAGGGAAACACTGTCTCAACAACAAATAAAGTTGTCTTTCAAGCCAGGCATGGTTGCACACGTAAGCAATCCCAGCACTTAGGAGTTAGAGGTAGGATGATCAGCAGTTGAAGCCCAGTCTTGCTTTCATAACATTCTTAACTTTCATAACAAGTCGCTGACTCAAAATATAAGTTATCTTGATGGACAAAGGTTAATTTTAGTGTAATCTAGTTTTATTAATACTTTGAAGGTATATTTAAGAATTTTTATTATTTACTAAGGTTGTAATCAGTATCTTCTCAAAGATTCATTTTTTTTTTATTGAGCTCTACGTTTTTCTCTGTTCCCCTCCGTATCTCTCCCTTTCCCCCATTAACCTTCCCCCAAGGTCCCCATGCTCCCAGTTTACTCAGGAGATCTTGTCTTTTTCTACTTCCCATGTAGATTAGATCTTTGTAAGTCTCTCTTAGAGTCCTCATTGTTGTAGCTTCATTGTTTTTTTCTGTATTTCTTGTTTTTAAGTAACCTCATTTTGACTATCATCGATGGTACTACTACTTTACTTAATCTGGCTTTTTTGTATAGTGTGTCATGTAGATGAGGAATGGGCATGTTACCCGTGTGTGGAGGACAAAGGAAGTTCATTCTCTCTTGTACCAAATGGACTTTGGGAAGTCCGTTCTCTCTTTGTACCTTGTTTTTGAAACAGGGTTTCCTGTTTCTGTCATGCTGCTTACTCCAGACTAGATTCCCAAAAATTCTGTCTCTGCCTCTTACCTCATCATAGGAATGCTGGGACTCTACGATGCAAGCCATTGCTTCTGGCTTCTTAATGTGGGTTTGGGGAATCAAACTCAAGTTGTCAACTTTGTGTAGCAAGTGCTTCTACTTACTGAGTCACCTCACTGACCCATTTACTTTAGCTTTCTGATGAACTGGCTTAAAAACTCATTCTGTCTTCTTCAGTTTTGGCTTTTTGTAACTTATATAGAGTATGAACTCACCTGTACAAAACCCCTGAGATTTTTTTTTTGAGGTGACCCTACATGTGTAAATTGCTTTTTAGAGATTTTTCCATGTATATCTTAAGTTTTATTATTTTATGTTGAGAGTTTACTTATCTTTAACTGTATTTATTAAAGTTGATACTATATTTGAAAGTGTTACACATTAAGATTTTTATTTTCTTTTTGTTGCTTGTTAAATAAAATATCCAATTTACTTTGCTGAAATCACCTAATAATTGTTCTGAGCATTCCTTTGCTAGTTGTATCATTTTTGAATGATCATTTTATCTGTTCTTTGATAGTCTTTACACTTCCTCTTTGTTTTTCTAAAGGAACTAGAACCTTCAGTATAGTGTTGAATGAACCAGTGGTAATGATCATTCTTTTTTTTGTTTTGTTTTTTGAGATAGGGTCTCTGTAGCTTTGGAGCCTGTCCTGGAGCTAGCTCTGGTAGACCAGGCTGCCCTTAAACTCACAGAGATCTGCCTGCCTCTCCCTCCTGAGTGCTGGGATTAAAGGCATGTGCCACCACTGCCTGGCAGTAGTGATCATTATTAACATATTCTCCCATCACTAAACATGATGTTTGCTATAAGATTTTTATTCTTTATGAGACTTAGCACATTCATTTGATTACTGGTTTTCTAGGTTGTTACTGTAGTGTAATGTTGACTTTTATGGGTTGTTTTATTTTGTTTTTATCTTCTTGTTGTTCAAGACAGGTTTTTTTCTGTGTAGCCTTGGCTGTCCTGGAACTCATTCTGTAGACCAGACTTTTAGCTTTTTATTTATTTTTATTTATTTATTTTTAAGGTTTATTTATTTATTATGTATACAACATTCCTTCCATGTATGCTCGCATGCCAGAAGAGGGCACCAGGTCTCATTATAGATGGTTGTCTGCCACCATGTGGTTGCTGGGAATTGAACTCAGGACCTTTGGAAGAACAGTCAGTGCTCTTAACCTCAGCCATCTTTCCAGCCCTCTTTTAGGTTTTTAATACACCTTTTTGAGATGTTTCACAGTGTAGCACAGACTGGTCTAGAAGTTGCAGTGACCTTCCACCTCAGCCTCAGGAGCACTGGTTTTACAGGCTCAAGCTCCATGCCTGGCTTAGGGAATTGTAAATTTTATTGATGTTAAACCATCATTGATAAATTGCCCACTTCAGTTTATAAACCATCAAGATTTTTTGTTCCTGTGATTATATATAAAATTGTCCTAGAATGCCCTTCCCTTAAATGTACTTGTTATATTTTTCTAATTTGTATAAAAACAATTTAGGCAAGGCATCATGGCACATGCCTTTAATCCCTGAGCATGGAGGAGGCAGGGGCAGGTATATCTCTGTAAGTTTGAGACCAGCCTGGTCTACATAATGAGTTCCAGGCTAACCACGACCCTGCCTCAAAGAAAACAAGCAAACAAATAAATGGGACATAGTCCGTTTTAATTCTGTGGAAGAATGTGCTTGCTAGCTCTCTAATGATTTGCTATGCACACATACTTAATCCCCATTACCCTGCTGGTGACAGCTTTGTCTCTGTGATTCTACTGATACTTCATTTAATAGAACCTAATTATTGTTATTTGTTTGCAAGTAATTTTTGGTTTCTTTTTTTTTTTTTTTTCTGACTGCTTCTAAGATTTTCTTGACTCTGGTTTTTAGTAATGTTTCTAAATACCTTGACATTTTGGTTCTCACTTGAAGACATATATGGACTTCAAATCAGTCATTTAAATCAGTCACGTAACATTGTTAATTGATTTTTTTAACGTTCTATTGACTTAGTATCAATATCTATTATCTCTTCACCTCATATCCACCTAGTAAACATTAAACATATGGTGGATCTTTTTTTTTCTCTCTCTCTCTTTTACCATCTTCTATAAAATTATCCTTTTGTGTTGATTTCTCCTGACTTGATTCTGGATTTTTCTTATGACCTAACTTCCATTCTACTTAATTCAGTTATGTTTTGCCACCTGTTTGAACAGGTTATTTTTAAGTTTGTCTGATAGTCCTTGAGAGCTTTTGTCTTCTGTTTGTTTATTTTACTAGTTTTCATTTGCATTGTCTTATCTCCTCTTATTCCTGACTACTTTTGATTTGAAAAATGATTTGTAGAAAGTATTTTGAGGCCTGGGATAGCAATGAATACCTACAAAGAGTAATTTTAATTTTTTGTGAGATCCTTGGGCACTAGCAGGTTCATCATTTTCATCCAGTCTTTGAAGTTTAAAATTTTTGTATCAAATTTATATATAGATTATTCAGATGACTTGAAGCTAGGCTATTACACCTGTAAGAACTGTGGTAATTTCAGTTTACCCTTCTGTCTAGAATGCAAACCTTGGAAGTCTTATGGGGCAACAACTCATACACTGTTATTCTGTGCTTCAGGAGTTGGCAAGCATTTTCTCTGGAGGGCCATGGAGTATGTAATTTTATTAGAGTTTTAAGCCATCTCTGCCACTGTTGAACAAAACAGCTGTAGCTACTTCATTAATAATAAGTTTATTCTGATAAAGATTTGTAAACGTACTGTACTGTAACTGCCAACTCTAGATGTTCACAGTTCTGCTCAGACTCCACCATCTCTTCTGAACCTGCAGATCACTAGGAAATGCTGGGCCTTTTTTATGCCACTTAGCTATCCAGTATCTTTAAGTATGAGTTTCTGGACATGTAAAAAACATTTTATCTTTCTAGAGAGATTGTCTTTATAGGATTAAAGCTGCCGAACTTCTTATAATGATGAAAACAACATGTACCTTCAATGTTAGTGTGGTATGGCTCTGGAGTGAATGAAATGTGGCACCTGTCACAACATAACTTAGTTTCAAGTTTTAATTGGCTTGAAGCTATTTAGTGCACAGCTTAGATTAAAAGAAGACATGAAAATTCTTAACACCCAGGGCTGGAAATGTGTGTTCATGTTTCAGTGTTCTTGATAGAATTCTTTTTAACTTAATTTGTTTATTTATGATATCTTATTTAAATATTCTATGCCTATTCAGACCTATCATTCTCATGATGTGATGGAAGGACATTTGTTATCCAAAGTGATAAACACATAAAACTGACATAGTTAGTTTACCTTCTAAAATGAATTTTCTCTGCAGGGAAAGGGGCGTATAAATCGTGGAAACTATCCAAGTCCATCCTCTCCTGTAATAGTCCGATTGCCTTCCATGTCTGATGTCCCTGAAGAGACCATGACTAGTGAAACGGCCATGGAGACTGACATCACAGAACAGCAGCAAGCAGCAATGCAGCAGGAGGAAAAAGTGCTGACTGAGCAAATTGAGAATTTACAGAAAGAGAAGTAAGTGTCCAGAGGAAAGGAGATACCAGTTGTCTTTTGTGATTCCTTCCCCCCTTTATTTTTTCCTTATTCATTATCTTCTGTGTCAAGCACTATGTCAGGTGGTCCAAAGGACATGGAGTTGTCAGATTCTTATTACCTATACTCAGGGTAAGTGTGGAAATTCATGAGATAGGAATCTTGATGCAGTAGGAATAGGAGGGTAAACATCCACAGTGTATGCTTTCTTAGTCCATATTCCAAAGGCATGAACAATGGAGAGCCAAGATGAGGTATCATATCTTGACAGGTCAGGGACCAACCTGCAGAACCAGATGTGCTTCACAAAAGGAAGAGCAAGAGTCCTTGGCTAAGACAAAGTTCTCTCCAAGTGTAAGCATTAGTTGGAGTTACATAAAGGAATAATAACAAGTGTTATTATTTAAAAATCACTATGACCATGGGCCCAACAACTAGATAGAATAAGGCAGCACCTGTACTCTGTTCTGGGGTACTAGGGAGAGAAACCTGTTGTGATTTCAAAGAGAAAGTTAAGAAATTCTATTACCTTCATCACTCTGTCAAGACTGGGTTGACATTACCCCTTAGGGATTAACATACCATGGTTCTCCCTGAAGGTACTATGTACTAGTTATGATTGACATAGATTGCTCAGAAATTCTAAAGGTTTCCTTGAGTCCCTATAGCTTACCTCTTAGGTCTGAGAACTTGATTCATGAAGAATCAAGAAGCTTTAATGTCAGGATTGATTCTGGAATTTAGGGCAACTGAAAAGCAGCTAGGGTTCAGCTGTGGAAAAAGTGAGGCATTAGCTACAAACCCGGGGCTAAAAAGATGACCTACCTCAGCTCTGATGAACATAGAATTATAGAGGGGTAAATAGGAAATTGTTAGGAAAGATAAAGTGCGAAGGATAAGCATACATCTCAAACCTGTGACTGCACATGAAAGTAGTGAGCTCCTGGCAAGGTTGTGTTTAAAAGGGTAGTTTGTGTGTCTTGTTGATTTCTCAAGGAAGGCCTTACACCCTCTGAAGAGCGGATGGGGAATGGGAAGGGGGAAGAGGATGACAGGAGAAGGGGAAGGAGGGAAAACTGGGGTTGGTATGAAAATGAAAAGTAAATTTTCTTAATTAAAAAAAAGAGAAAGATGATCTGTGAATTTCAGGCAATTTTAAAGTAGAAATAAGGCTAAGAAGGGTCTGACAAGAGAAGACTTGATTTAAAGAGAAAGAATTAGGTTCAGAGCTGGCTTATTACTAGGGATCTACAAGCTGTGTTTTCTGGATGAAGAAGCTGAGATCCAGAGAGAGAACAGGTTTTGCTGATATATCATGAATAAATTTAGAATCTTCAATTCCTAGTTTTCAGTACAAAGTTCGTCTCAGAACGTCTCAGTTACAGCAACCTACATCAGCCCACCCACCCCTAGCTCCATCATTGCTGTGATCTTGTGCTTTCATCCATCTCTTGGTTTCATATAAATAAATACTCTTCATCACCTTAGTGGGACAGTAAGAAATGTCTTTGTCATTTAACTTTTGTTTTAATAAAGTCTTTCTGTCATCTTTTTTCTGCTCCCTATCATGTTAATGGGTTTGTTGATTGTATCTCATAGGGAAGAACTAACTTTTGAGATGCTCGTATTGGAACCTCGTGCCTCTGATGACGAAACCCTTGAGTCTGAGGCTTCTATTGGGACTGCTGATAGCTCAGAAAATTTGAACATGGATTCTGAAGGTACCACTTTTGAGAGAGCTGATAAATGAATATGTTATACTAGAGACATAATTTGTATTATGTCTTTGTAAAGAAGGAATAAGAATTCTCAAGCTAGGCTGGAAGAGTGGCTCAGTGGTTAGGAACCCTCATGTTCAGAGGAACTGGGTTCAATTCCCAGCACCCACATGGTGGTTACAGCTTGTAACTCCAGTCCCAGGAAATCTGATGCCCTTTTCTGGCCTCTGAGGATACCAGGCACTTGGTGTACATGCAGGCAAAGTATCCACACACATAAAAATATATAATTTTTTTTTAATTTAATAGTTAAAAAAAAATCCCCAAGCTAGGTGCGGTGGCACACATCTTTAATCCAGGAGGCAGAGGCAGGTGGATTTCTTGAGTTCAAGGCCAGCCTGGTCCAGGACAGACAGAAATATTATGGATAAACCCTATCTTACAAAATAAACCAAAACAAATTCCCAAGCTAAGTAGAGTTTGTTTTACAAATCCACTGATTTCACATGAAAATACGACAGATTACTAAGGAATCACAGGTCTTTGTGATGCTTCCTCATAATTGTTCATTAGACTCACAAATGGTCATTGTAATGCAGTTAGTAACTTAATTTTGGTAACTTATCGTGGAGGGTTGGGGAAAGCCAGTAATCACAGTGCATATCCATTTCATGGTCATTTTGCAAGAATGAGTGCCAAAACTGTCCCCTGCTATGAGGTGGAACTGTCACACCAAAGGAGGTGTTTGACTAGGTGCTGTATCTCAGGGAGACAGAGGCTTTGGAATGATGGTGACTGTTCTAGGTCTCTGCTGGCCTTATACTCAGACATACCATACTTCCCTGGGACTTAGTGTAAAGTATTTGTGGAACTGGATGAAGAGGATTTGTTGATCTATTTGTTTGTGAACAAGTTCTCACTCTGTAGTTCTTTGCTGGCCTGGAACTCACAGAAATCCATCTGCCTCTGCCTTCCAAGCTCTGGGATTTAAGGTATGCACCACCAGGCCCAACTCTAGAGCTTTTTGCCATTTCTACAATGTAGATCATCTCGACCCTCACAGCTTTGACAAATTCATTTTTACTTGTGAGCACTGGCTTCTGTTTATTATCTGATGTTTAAGAGACATTGTCACAACTTTGTCTTCTGTGTCTCCATTAGAGAGAAGCTTAGCCCTTAGCTCCCTGAGAGCAGCTGCCAAGTCTGAGCCTTCAAGCAAGTTGGGAAAACAGCTAAGAAAGCAGCCAGACTCTGTGGACTCAGTCAACTCCTGCGTCTCTTCCTGTTTATCTAACACTACATCATCTCATGGCACTAGAAAGCGATTTCAGATTTATTCCAAGTCTCCATTTTACCGAGCTGCCTCAGCTTGTGAGGCCCTGGGTATGGAAGGACCACTAGGCCAAGCCAAATCGCTGGAAGACAGGCCTCAGTTCATCAGCAGAGGAACCTTCAACCCTGAAAAGGGCAAACAAAAACTAAAGAATGTGAAAAATTCACCTCAGAAAACCAAAGAGACCCCAGAGGGGACAGTCGCATCTGGCCGAAAGAAAACTGTGGACCCAGACTGCAGCTCAGCACAGCAGCTACCACCTTTTGGAAATAATGAGTTTATGGTCTGAATGACAGATGTGTCCCTATGTGGCTAGAGTGGTAAACACATCTCATCTCTGGGGCCTCTTCTGGTCACTTTGTCCATAACAGTCCTAATGGTCCTGCCTCTTGTTCCAGCACTTTGTGTGCTGGATCACTGGGCTTCCTGCAGAAGTGGCCTCTTTGAAGGTTGCTAGGGATGGGCCATCTGTGCCTTGGCTGCTGTCTTTGATTTGAGATTCCACTAAACAAAGCCACCTAGGACCTGGGGGATTTTGGTCAGCAGTTGTTGCCTCTCCCGCAGTACTCTTCCCTTCCCAACAGATACTTGTTGAACTAGGAGGCTATTGTGATCCTGAGGAATACTCTCATTTCTAGCTTTTGAAGAAAATATACAAACCTCTCTTAACCATGAAAGCAAAAGCTTTTGAGTTTGTATTGGGATAGTTAGGAGCTGTGGTAGAATATATTTTCCCCCAAGGATTTATAAGAAGAAAGCCCAAGCCCTCTATTTTAAGTTTAATTTAAAAATACTCCATGTTATATTTTGGAAACATAAACTATGATTTCCATTAAGCCATCAGAGCATGTCTCAGTTATCTGGTCATACAGTGAAGAGACCATGCTTTGTGTTTTGTTGATGTTGATATCATAGTAATCAGTACTGGTTTAACTCCTGGTTAGTTCCTGCCAGCTATGTTGCATGGGATAAAGTTCTGGCAGCCATACTGTCATGATAGACTTGATTATCAGGTCAGAGTCCTCTAGTCTTTTGTTTGGTTTCTGTGTCACAGACACATTTAGGTAACCCCTAAATGTGAAGGCTTCATCCTGATTGATCCAGGCTTTTTTGTTGTTGTATAGATTAAACTGAAGACCGTATCCGAGCCTATTCACTTGCTGGTGGAATACCACCATAGACTCAGACAAATAATGTGACCATGTAATCATTTTTCTACAAGTACTCACAACATTGCATGAGTGTTATAGAAATCTGCCAAAAGAAATTTAGAAAGTTTTAATATGATCTATTTAACTTTTATCTTCTTTTTTTTTTCTCAGACCATCAGTATTAGATGAAAAAAAATCAAGGACTACTTGAAGCTATTTTTGTTAATATACTTGTTCCTGAAGTTTACTGTAAATACACATGTATAGTATGCCTAGTTCTTTTTAACTTTGTGCTTCCCCCATTTTTCCATGGAGTTTCTTCCTACAGATGAGAGGCCATTGGACAGGTGGTGAGAACCACTCACCTCTGGGTTGAGAGAAAAGTAAGGGCATCTTCTTCATCACTGGTGGTCTCTATGTACCTAAGTTATAATTTCTGAAACATCATGTACTAGCATTTGTGGGAGTAGAAATCTTTTTGCTATTTATAATGTATGTGAAATGAAACATGATGCCCTTTCTTAAGTATGTGAAAATGTTTATTTTTAAAGTAACTAAATACATTTTGTCTTAACTACCATATGCACTGTTACAAAAAGAGCCTTTACCACCTATAACCTGAATTTCGGTTTTCTTCATTTTCTTTGGTTTGAAGTCATGAGAATAATAAGTCTTCTGTTAAGGCAGGGTCTTTCCTCTTGCACAACACTGAACCTCATGCCCCTGCTTCAGTGGTCATTGGCCAGCTCTAGAGATGAGACTTGTAGCATCATTCTGCGCAGCAACTCATGGTAGCAGGTGTCTTCCCTCTCCCTGGTATATATAGTTCATCATCGAAACACATGAAGGAAGCTTTGAAACTCTCCCCAAATGATGGTGGTCAATCAGTAAATGTTAAGTTTTATATCCCACAAACATTAACAACAAGAATGTTGGATATTGTCCTAAAGGAACCCAGCATGACTGTGTCAAGGTGGGGTAACTATTTTGGGCCTTACACAGTCTATTTTAGCACTGGGGAGAGCAGCTACTGCTGGGTGTTAACTGTTGCTCTCCACTTTGGTCAAAATGTTACTTAATTTTTTTTTTAAGCTATTGAACAGTTTCCCTTGTTTCAGAGGAATGGTCTGGGGAAACTTAACACTTGACATACATTCTCCCACCTAAATTTTCAGTTTTTTGTTTGTCTTGTTTTTCTATAAGGTAAATTTGGGGCTGAGAAAAAACTGTCTACATAGGTCACTTTGTAGGAACTAGGTAATCGATATTAAAAGACTTTATAATTTTTCTCAGGGACCTAAATCCTGAATTTGAATAAAATTAAATAAAAACTTTTTTTTCAGTTGCTAGATTTGTAAATTTCCAATCATTTAACAAGCTGCCAGGATGCGCTGGGGGAAATCCACACAATCATAAGAATGTCTCAGCAAGTGTAGGCCTTCTTTGAGGAAAAGAATGCTATTGTTCTTGCTGGTCAGCAGGCACTATTGGTCTGATAGAGATGAAGCCATAACTCAATACTGTCAGAACCAAATGTTCTACTCCCGTCAGTTCTTATCAGGGTCTCTGCATCACCACAAAATGACAATGTATTGCAGTCACTCATGATACAGTCCGCATCAGGTTCACAGTTCTCTGTTGCTTTCTGCCTTGCTGCTTTTCTTCACTCAGAATGCATCAAAAGAATCTCCATGGCAGCAGCAGAGTGGCTTACATGTGGAGCCCGTGTTCCCAACTTCAGAGCATTCTAGTCACGTCTAGCCCTCAAAAACATCTATATTTTCTTTTCTACCCACTCATTAATATATGTTTGTAGCTGTGTATCATAGAAAATGTAGCAGAAACAAATTCATTCTGCATTACAGATTGAAGATACTACAGCAAATGCAGGCAGAATTCAGGGAGGCAACATGCTTAGTTTGCACATAGTTTGTACTTCCTGCCATTTAGATATATATGGCCACGCTGGGCTGTTGAAACAAAGGGAGATATGACCCTCTTTCTCTGAGTATTGTTAGGAGGGACAAAAAGATGTGAGTTCAGGGCACAGGTCACTAGGGCCAACTCTCAGGCTTTGGAAATCTGCTGTGACTCTTATCCTTGCATAGGATGTGAAGATATCATGTGTTGTACAGTCAAAGATATGCTGACATGTGATCCGTGGAGGTTGTATTGTCCCATCTCTGCCTGTGAGCTCTATGTTTTCATCTGTAACTGATAAGCTAGAGAGAAGAAAGGATTCTCAGGAGGTGTGTGAAGCTGAGAAAGTTGTAACTATAGAAAGAAGTTGTCCAGCTGGTTTTCTCGCCCACTCTTAAGTCTTGGTGGGGAATGGACCTGCATTCTTCTGTATTGAATGGTGTGTTATATGCACCCACACACTTATGATAACTTCCCAGCACTGTGTCCCAACACCATGCTGGCCTTAGTAGTAAAATATTTAGTCATTTGTAGGAGACCCAACTTTCTGTGTCCTTAGACCATGTTTCTCTGGAACATTCCCATACTTGATTTGGTGTTGACTGGGTAATCTCCAGTGTATTAGATCTTATTAATCTCTTGGTTTAAACTTCAAAAAAGCTCTACCAATGGGCCTGTTGCCTTGTACTGATCCATTCTTAATGCCTCTTTATCAGCCCTCTTAGGTCATATAAGAGTTGCACCTCTTGAATAAAGTATTTGTATTTGCTATGGGAAAGGTGTGGACTACAGATTAGTATTATATTATTTTAATGGATTTTAAGTAATTTATAAGTATGGTGAGTGTAAATTTTTAAAATACTGTATATTATAAAAGGACATATCCTGTGAAATATGCCACTTTACTGTTTAACAATTCTATTAGAATGATTTATCTCATTCACAGAACTGATTACATTCCTGATGCAATCAGCAGCACTTTGTAGTTTTTCTTTTTTTTTTTTTTGTTTTTTTTTTTTTTGGAGGGGGCAAGACATTTGTATGAAGTGCAGTATGCGTCACTCAGAATATGCACTGTATGGCCACACAAAAGCAGCTTGCTGAACAAATCACTCCATGGCTCATTAAAGAACAAAGCTTCCAGAAATGGAATATGTGTGGTTTGTTTTCTGGTTCCCAATCAGATTCATAACCCAAAGGAACAACACTGATTTCTTATACTGATAAAGTTAAAAGAAAGGACCCAGTTCCCAGTTGGTAAGTGCAGAAGTGACTTCTGTTAGAACTCAGCTGAATTCAAAGGAGGAGCAAAGCCAAGGTACTGGTCTGCTGACTGTCAAGACAGTTCAGAGGGAAATACCAAGATGGAAGATTAAAGGCATCTAACGCTCACTTTCTGTGAAGAAAAAATGTATAGCTGCATTTTGAGGTGAACAATAGTTAAAATCAGAACCAGCCAGGCGGTGGTAGTACAGCACTTGGGTGGCAGAGGCAGGCGGATCTTTGTGGGTTCGAGGGCAGCCTGGTCTACAGAGTGAGTTCCATAACAGCCAAGGCTGTTAAACAAAAACCTTGTCTTGAAAAAGCAGGAAAAAAAAAAAAACTAAACTGAAAACATCAGAACCTTGTGAGACTCAGAGACCTGAGACAAAGTCATGGCAACAGAAACAAAATATCCTGGCACCTGCACCTCTCACCCCATAATGAGGAGGGGGGGCCTTGGACTTCCCACAAGGCAGGCCACCCTGACTTCTCTTAGGACTTCTCTTAGGAGGAGGAGGGGGAAAGGGGAGGGAAAGTGGAAGGGGAAAGGGGAGGGAAAGTGGAAGGGAAAAGGGAGAGTGGAAGGAGGTGAAAATGTTAAATAAATTTTTAAAAAAATTTAAAAAACTAATTATTGAGGCCAACACCTGCTACACCAACACCTGAGCCCTCTTAGTAACACTAGTAGCCACCTCAATACTAGCTGTCTACAGCATACGAATCATCTACTTTGCTTTAAAAACTAAACCTCAATTCCCTTCTTCAATCATTATTAATGAAAATGACCCATTATTAATTAACCCAATCAAACACCTAGCCCTAGGAAGTGTCATGGCAGGCTTCTTCATCTCATACAATATCCCACCCACAACCATCTAAGTCATAACTATACCATGATACTAGTAACCATTGCAGGATTTGCCATCACATTAGAACTTAATAACAAATAGCCTTTCACCAACCAAGCCCTCACCTACTAAACTATTTTCAACCTCCCTAGGATATTTCCCAACAATTATATATTGAATTCTCCCTATCAAAACACTTAACATAAGCTTTACAAACAGCTCTAACCTTACTAGATCTAATCTGACTAGAAAAAGCTATCCCCAAAATCACCTCCACCTTCCATACCTACACTCTGCAACCCTCAGTAACCAAAAAAGAATAATTAAACTATATTTCCTCTCATTCCTAATTACACTCCTGTCTATCCCAGTCTTACTAAGCATTTAATTACCCCGAGTAATCTCAACAATAATAAATATACCTATAAATAAAGTTCAACCAGAAACCACTATCAACCATGCAGAGCAGCTCCACAAAGCAGCCACCAACACCCCCATCACCCACTAATCTTAGCCCATCACCATCATAAACCATTCACCCACCTAAACTATTGAAGTCCAACACTATATCCAACCCCTCATAATAATTAGTCACAAATAATATACTATCTCCATAAGAACACTTATCAATAAAACTCCTGATACCAATCAACCAGAGACCCATGTATCCTCTGCAGACATAGCAGTAGTGTAACCAAATACAATCAACATCCCCCCTAAATCAAAAACACCATTAATCCTAAAAAAAAAAGACCCACCAAAACCTAATACCGCTAAACAACCTGAACACCCACTATCAAACATAACCCACCATAAATAGACGTCTTCAAATAAGTGCCTAAACAACCTAATGAAATCAATAGACTTAAAATATAAATAGATCCTGTCATAATTTCTACATTAACTATGACCAATGACATGAAAATCATCGTTATTCAATTATAGAAACACTTAGTGACAATCATCCGAAAAAGACACCCATTAACCAAAATTATTAACCACTCATTCATGGATCTTCCAGCCCCATCAAACATCTCATCATGATGAAATTTCGGCTCTCTCCTGGGTTTACGCTTAATCATTCAAATCCTCACAGGATTATTCCTAGCCATACTCTACACATTAGGCACATCAACAACATTTTCATAGGTCACTCACATCTACCGAGACGTTAACTAATCCACTATCTACAGGCAAATGGAGCCTCTATATTCTTCATCTGCCTTTTCCTCCATGTAGAATGAGAAATCTATTATGGCTCTTACAATATAACTGAAACATGAAACACAGGAATTGTACTTCTATTTGCCATAATAGCAACAGCATTCGTAGGCTACGTACTCCCGTGAGGACAGATACCATTTGGAAGGGCTACAGTAATCACCAATGTCCTATCAGCCATCCATCCCTTACATCGGAACAACCCTAGTAGAATGAATCTGAGGTGGATTCTCAGTAGATAAAGCCACTCTAACATTCCACTTTATCTTGCCTTGCATCATCACAGCCCTTGTATTCGTTCATCTCTTATTTCTCCATGAAACTGGCTCCAATAACCCATCAGGCCTAAATTCGGACGCAGACAAAATTCCATTTCACTCTTACTACACGAAGACTTTCTCAGCATCCTGAGAAAGTCTATTCTTCTTCTTCTATTATTAGCTCTCATAATTTTGGTTTTATTTTTCCCAGATATTCTCGGAGATCCAGATAATTATACACTAGCAAATCCACTTAACACCCTACCACACATTAAACCGGATGATATTTTCTTTTCGCTTACGCTACCCTCCAATCTATCCCCAACAAACTGGGGAGCGTACTAGCTCTAATCCTATCCATCCTTATTCTCGCCCTTATACCCTTTCTCCACACCTCAAAACAATGAGGACTAACCTGCCCAATCACACAATGTATTCAATTTTAGTAGCTGACCTCCTTATCCACACACGAATGGGCGCCCAACCAGTTGAACACCCATTCATCATTATCAGACAAAGCCTCCGTCGGTTATTTCGCCATCACCGTAATCTTCATTCCTATTGCAGGCATAATTGAAAACAACATTCTTGACCTAGATTAAATGCCCTGATAGTATAAACATTACACTGGCCTTATAAACCAGAAATGAAAATCTTTTTCTCAGAACATCAAGAAGGAAGGACTCATCCTCCACCATCAACACCCAAAGCTGACATTCTTTTTAAACTTCTTGTACATAAATGTATATAGGACATTAATACATTTATGTATATCATGCATTAAATTATATTCCCCAAACATACAAGCATGCACTATTATATAAGACATTAAATTCTTTATCAACATACAATTCAACCATGAATTTGATCTACAACTATTTAATTAATGCTTATTAGACATATCTGCGTTACCTTATATGCACCATTCTGTCATCAACTCTTTATGACATCCTGTCATAAACAGCCGCTCAACACTACAACATCCAAATTCCACAAATCATAATGACTTCCTATAAATACTAATTGGGTTCATCTATGGTTATATAGATGAAATACTGTTAACATGAATAACAAGAACACTGTTCTCCAAGCACAAGCCTATAACAACCCAGATGACCATTGTTAGTTAACAACCCCAAGTGTGCCGGGCGGTGGTGGCGCACGCCTTTAATCCCAGCACTCGGGAGGCAGAGGCAGGCGGATCTCTGGGAGTTCGAGGCCAGCCTGGTCTACAAGAGCTAGTTCCGGGACAGGCACCAAAGCTACAGAGAAACCCTGTCTCGAAAAACAAAAAAAAAAAAAAAAAAAACAAAAACAAAAACAACAACCCCAGGTGTAAATCCTACTAACAAAACTCACCTGTATGTAAAATGTTAATCCAACACAGGCATGCCACAAGGAAAGATTAAAAGATGTAAAAGGAACTTGGCAAACATGAATCCTGCCTGTTTACCAAAAACATCACCTCTACCATAAAAAGTATTAGAGGCGGGCCGGGCGGTGGTGGCGCACACCTGTAATCCCAGCACTCGGGAGGCAGAGGCAGGCGGATCTCTGTGAGTTCGAGACCAGCCTGGTCTACAAAGGGAGTTCCAGGACAGGCTCCAAAGCTACAGAGAAACCCTGTCTCGAAAAACAAAAAAAAAAAAAAAAAAAAAAGTATTAGAGGCACCACTTGCCCAGTGACTACTAATGTTAAATGGCCGTGGTATCCTGACCGTGCGAAGGTAGCATAATCCCTTCTTTCTTAATTGAGGACTGGAATAAACGGCTATACGAGGATTCAACTGTCTCTTACTTCCAATCAATGAAATTGACCTTCCCGTGAAGAGGTGGGATAACATAATAAGACGAGAAGACCCTATGGAGCTTCAATTTACTAGCTTAACTTTCCAACAAACCTCCCTACTGAACCAAATATCAAGATATAAGCTAGGAATTTCGGTTGGGGTGACCAAATCAAACCAAACTCTGAATGATTTTTTTTAACCTAGACTCACAAGTCAAAGTGACCAAAATCCTATTGACCCCAAAACTTTTGACCAATGGACCAAGTTACCCTTGGGATAACAGCGCAATCCTATTCGAGAGTCCGTATCGACAATTAGGGTTTACGACCTCGATGTTGGATCAGGACATCCCAATGGTGTAGCAGCTATTGATGGTTCAATGACTAAAGTCCTATGTGATCTGAGTTCAGACTGGAATAACTATTAACTATTTCTCCCAGTATGAAAGGACAAGGGAAATGGGGCTTTCTTAATAGTACCCCAAAACTAATATATGAAATTATCTGAATTTAGTAAGTTTGTGTAACTATAACCCTAGACAAGGGTATGATTAGGGTGGCAGAATCAGGAAATTGCATAAGATTTAAAACCTTGTCCCCAGAGGTTCAAATCCTCTCCCTAATAGTGTATTTCACCCTCCTAATTCCAGTATTAATCGCCATGGTATTTCTTACTTTAGTGGAATGTAAAATCCTAGGCTACATACAATTACGAAAAGGACCAAATATTGTAGGACCCTATGGAATTCTCCAACCATTCACAGATGCAATAAAATTATTTATTAAAGAACCCCTATGACTCCCTAGCTACTTCCACAACCCTATTATCATGCCTACTTTATCCTCGCTAGCTCTAAGCCTATGAATTCCACTACCTATGCCTCACCCCCAGTCAACCTAAACCTAGGAATCCTATTTATTTTAGCCACATCAAGCCTATCAGTCTACTCCATTCTATGATCAGGATGATCAGAACTCCAAATACTCTATATTTGGGGCACTACAAGCAGTAGCACAGTAGTTTAAATTTATCTCAATAGACTTCCACTTGACTGGCAG